GTGATATGGTCCATGTACATAAAAGTGTTAAGTGTCTCCTTCAAAATGACGTACAGTCAAATATAATGAAATCATAAATCTAACCAATGAGATTTTCCATTTTAAACTTGACATCTAGAAGCTAATTCTTCTATAATTAAAACGCTGTATCACATAACAGTTATGCTTTCTTTTTAGAGAGTTATTTCCAACTGAGAGTTCTTTGCAGACAGCTAAGTCTCTGAGTCCACCTGTTGTCACTAGATCACTTATAGTTTCAACTTTACTACATTTTTTTTATTGCCGGTCCCTCGGCGCCTACAAAAAGCGAGAAAACATTTGAGAAGGATCACCAAGGCAGAGATCTCAACTCTGAAAGAACAATAAAATTTTGAGCGTTAATTTGTAATTTCATGGGTTATATTTTTTTAAAACCTGTCTCATGGTATTTTTCACGTAATGTTTGCTACTGTCGAATTTACGTGGACGAATATCCAATTTTCCTCCGTTTCTCCGTTTCGATGTACATTTGCGAAAAGGTCAGGATTGTGAGATGATAATGACCTTGGCAAATGTCAATGGAGGAATGGAGGAGAACAAAGGTCAATGGAGGATTCATAATGTCATTCATCATATACGTGAAAAACGCCATAGTCGTCCCGTTCGGCCTGGAAAGGCTGGGTCGTCCTGCCAAGCGATTAACTCGTTGAAACTCGACTTTTGACATTCGTTACATTGAAAAATTGTATGTCATTGTATTCTAGGTTTCAACGTAAGAAAATCTTTAAGCAATTAATATAGATAAAGCAGGGTAAATAATTGATCAACGAACTGCTTTCCGTTTTTACTGTCCGACACCCTTCAGGGTTTTTTAATTATGCCATTATATAGAAGTCTCTTTCTTCTAGCTCTTCCTTTATTGTCCAGCCAACTGTTCGTGTTTAAATGATTTTTAAATATTCCGGTATTCGAAATATGGTAATTTGGAGCAGCATCCGGCCGGGTAGAATGTCCCAGCACAATCTCAACAGTTTTTGCCGGGTTTTTAACGATAAATAGTTGTCATTAAAGAAAAACGTTCCATTTTGTTCAATATGCAGGCCAGCTCGCGCTTAATAACGGCAATTGGCCGGGTTGTGATTGATTGCCAGTGACAGTTTCATTCGCACAAAAATCGTGAATTATTCAGACGAACTAAAAAGTGGATCTTTATTTTATAACTACAAAAAAACAAAAAAAAAACATCTTCAGTGTACTCTTTGGTATAGCAGACTCAACATACAACCTTATAGCAGTTTACGCAGGAGGCTATGGAAAAAAAACAACAGTAATGGGAGTATACTATCCAACTCGGAACTGGGTAAAGCATTACAAAACGGAAATCTGAACATACCCATTGATAGTGTCCACTGTCCTTCCAGGGACTTCATTGCTATCACCGTTCGTTATAGTAGGGGATGAAGTTTTTCCTTTGAAGAGATATTTAATGAGACCCTACCCTCAAGCCCTTATCGATGATAATTCTAAAAAACACTAACCAACGTCTGACCCTAGCTCGACGTTATGTTGAGAATACGTTTGGTATACTTGGTCAAAAGTTCAGGATTTGTAACAGGAGAATTCAAGCTTATCCTACCCATGTTGATTACATAATTTATGTTACTTGCATCCTCCACAATTTCCTTAAAAAACATGACGGTTTCAATCCTCTTTTGAATGATGTTCCAACCGAAATTCCACGAGCTTTTGAAAACCTACATTTTCGAGGGGGAAACGCCGCGCCTCTAGCTTTTGCTGTTAGAAAAACATGTAAAAACTTTTTCATGTCCTCTGAAGATTACTTCGAGTCATTCTAGTGAATGTTATTTTTCCTATTTAAAGTTTTTACATTCTACTATACAAAGTTACATATAAATTAATAATATAATACCATATGTAATTATGCTAGTACAAAAATGAAATAAATGAATACATAAAAATGAAAGTTTTATCTTACCTGTACATCTTGAACTTCGGATACATGTATTTTGGATGGGACAAATCATATAATACAGTTTTCTCTCTCACAAACTCAATGAGTTTTTCGTAATCCATTTGCAATTATCAATAAGAACAATACACCACAAATCAATAAAAACACCAAAAACAATGAATTTCGGTTGAAAAAATGTTTGTTATTTTATATTCTTTCAACAGAACACTGATGGGTACAGAGCGACCACCTCAGCCGAATCGTTGGCGACGGCAACTGAGTGGGAATCTTCTGGAAATCGCACGTGCCTCGCAAAGCCTTTTTCAATTAAATCTGGAGTCCCACAGGGATCCACCATGAATCCTTTGTTATTCTTAATCTTTATAAATGACCTCAAGTCTGTTCTTCCTAATGCCTTTGCCATTTTTCTCTTTATAAAATCAGCACAAAACTCTCTCTCCTTTGCAGCAATGTATGGATAAACTTAGTTTCTGTATCGATTAACTTTATAAATTTAAATATAAATGCTCAGTAATTTCTTTTAATCATTCTTCTAATACTATTATTTACAATTATTCTCGTTCAATAATATCCAAATAAATATAATATCATGTACAAAAACTTGGGCATTCTATTCGATAGCAAGTTAGAGTTAGAAGAAGAAGCTAAGAAGGTAGAAGTTAGAGATTAGAAGAGGAGGATCTGCAAGACCAACAAACGCAGAATCTTGAATAAACCAATGGTGCTAGACACAGTAAGCTTATCTTCACCAGAACTGGCAAACTTATTGCTAAGTTAGAGAAGGCAAAACTCATGTAGGACTATACACATCACTGGCAGTTGAGAGAACATGTACATAACATGGGCATATTTAATGATGACCCCATTATATTTTGCCATAAGGATGAAGAACCAGCTTGACAAAACAAAGTAAACCCAGTGGAAGCAATTGTGTGCAACAACAGACAATGATCTGATACTTCTTAAGAGTAGAATTGAGTTAATTAAACTTAACTAAGGAACTAGGAAAAGTACAATAAGCCAGAAAGTTGCAAACCAGAAGTCCTGGTTGCTGCATTACCCCACTTCCTAGATTTCCTTTGTTATCACCATCATAGAGTTTAAGGAGCACATTATCAATGTTAAAAAGAAAACTTAAATTTTTGGTTTTGTTCTCATTTTTATAATAACAGGGAAGACAGTCTACAATGGATATCAGAGGTGGCAATGCATCTGCATGGTTGGCTCTGATAAGAATGATAATATGGTGGTGCCTCAAGGGAGCGTACTAGGTTCGCTACTGTTTTTGCGCTATGCTAGTACCCCACATTGCTTCATAACTGACGACCTCATCTTTGTGTTTTGAGCTTATTCTCTCTATGCTGCTTTATGTAAAACAACTGAAATATTTGGTAGGGCATGTGGTTTGCTATTAACAAGCTTGACTTGAATCATTCTAAAATCATCATGTATGATAATCAACTGGACAAAAACCCATAGCTTTGTAATTCCTTCTTTCCATAATGTTTCGGGTGGGCACTTGGACATACTTCATTTGGACTGTCACATAACTCTCCTGGTTAAGAAAACTACTGCTTTTTGGACTGAATTGGTTGAAACCAGTTGTACATTAGTCTCAATTTCTAACAGCCTACTATGCTCTTTTTATGTCCCAAGTCAGATATGGCATTGTATTCTAGGCAGCTGTGCACTTACTTCATAAAGTTTAAAAATAAAAAGAGAGCTTTGAGAATGATTCTTGGGCTAGGATATAGAGACTGTTATCCCTCTACGATTAAACAGCTCAATATAATTACAGTTCCAGGATGTTATATCCTACAAATACCGACTGCGAGCACCAAGATGTGTTTAAAATTCTTGTCTCATGTCATGACAACACCAGGCACAAGGACAAATTCGCTCTACCCAAGTACCACAGTACAACATTTTTTTGGCATTCTAGTTTTTCTCAATGGCAAAAATTTATAACAAAATGTGCAAACAAATTGAATTTAAAAACAACATTTAAACACAACACAAACATTAAAAAAATAAATAAATGCCATGACTAAAGCTCTATGATGTGATGACATTTATGAATTATATCAATAATTTATAATTTATAAATATATATGTATTAATATATTAATATATGTATTTTAACTAATTATGTACAATGATGATTTTATGCGAAATGTGAAATGGTTTTGCCCTAAGATTTTTGATTTGACTCAATTCTCAAACTCACATTCATTTTATCCTTGAATTTTCTACTGTTTTTGAATCCGGACCATTCTCATTCAGCAATTTTAAATAAAATTCAAAAAATTAGAATCCTTCACTTTCAATTTCCTCTCCTTTCATTTCCAGAACTGCCTTATTCTGTTATATAATCTTCCAGATTAAAAGATATTAGAAGAATTATTAAAAAATTTAATAATTATTTATAAAACATTAAATGGTCTTATATAATGGATTGTCCTACTTCATATCTTTAATTTCTTTCAGTGTTGCATCCATTAAAAAAAATCTAATTGTTGTAATGTTGAAGGCAGAAAATACTTCAAGTTTTATGATTTAATTTGCCAATTTTTAACTACTTAAAAGTTAACAATCTAGCTTGTTTAAACTATCTGTCCATAAAGGTGTCAGTGAAGGGTGCAAGCCCTTAGCTAACAAATAGCATTTGGTTTATGATACGATGAAAGATGGACAGATCTGGGTCAGATCTCTACTTCACTTTATGCCAGGGTATGGTGCTTGTCTTACAAGGAGTTAAATATTTGAATACTTCATGAATTTGTTTGTTTGTGGCTCTCTTCGTGTTAAAATTACTTTTGTATTACTTGCTCCAATGGTACAGCAAAATTTCAAATTTGATCTTATTATTTTTTATATCATTTGGCTAATTCCCAATATTATTGCTATTATTTCTTTCACTTTCTTCCATCAGTACATTAAATAATTGAAATTATTGTATGAATTTTTAACATAATTAAAAACTTCTATGTATATTTACTAATTTATTGTTTTGCTTTGTTTGTTTTAGGTATAAAGAATGGTTTTATCCATCAGACATTGGAAAGCGTATAGAAGGGTACATTCTTTGGCCCTTATAGGGATGTTGTCATGACCCAACGTAACTTCCTTCTTTGCCTAGCCTTCCATCTTACTGGTGTCGGCTAAATTAATTTTGTAGTTTAAATAACTATTGTTTTATGCTGTATTTATTTTATTTAACACAAAACAAACAAGTCTTTTTAAAATAAAGGGATCAATTATTTTTATAAGAAAATATATTTTTTTATAATAACAAAACATAACATACATATGTAAGTGTTTATATATGGAAGAAGAAATGTCAACAATGAATACAAAAAAATCAGTGTGATGGAAGCATGGAAAGGTGTGGGGAATTTGAGGCAAGCCCGGAGACCCTCACCCCGGAAAGCGTAGATTCAACTAAAAAAGGAAATCTAAACCGAAATAGCAGTTTTGAACATGAACAGAACTGTAAACCAAAGAGGACGCACGTCAGGACCGGGTCGGATTTCTGGGCTCAGGTCGCCGAGCAGACATCGTACATTGACAGCACGAGGAGTTCACTTTTAGTTGATGTTCCTTCCGTACAATCTCACCTAAAAGTATGTCCATTTAATTTGACTCAATCGGATAATATTCTTAAAGAAAAATCATAATTTCAGACACCAAGAACAGGATATGCGGGTTCATGTTCAACACCTTCACTCTCTTTACCCTCTGTACCCTTAGCACGGCCAACCTCGTTACACCACAGATACAGTGTGAGGGATACCAAAAAACATGCCAAAATCACTAGATTCTACAGCCATGACCATAACACTTTAGGTAAATTGAAGAATGTAAATTAAAAAAATTCCTTTTTAATAGTTATTTATGCTTTTAGCTCGAGGACATGAACTAAAAGTTATACAAAGCCATCCACCTAATTCGGACGAATCAAGATCTTCCTTGGCCGCAATATGGGCGGCTGTAGACAATAACAATCAGAAATTTAAAAAGCCTATTGGTGTGAGTTAATTTACACATGGAAAATTATTGTATAAGTCAAATAAAGAGTTTAATTTGTATTTTCAGAGAAAACCCAGTTCTTGGGAGGAAAGTGTATCTCTTCAACGGAGACGGAGCCTTGCAGCGAGGGACACTGGCAAACTTGGTGGAAACACAAAAGAAATCCCGTTGCCGATTTCATCCCTTGCAGGCTTAGATACAAAAGATGTGAGATACTGTTTCCAGCACCCTTACCTTCGCCTATTCACGACTCTTCTTGTTATATTTTGCAACTTTTTACTTTTCGCAGAAGACCCCATTTCGCACAGTCACACAGGTTGGATTTAAAATTGTATCGTTTACTTTTTTTAAATTTATAGTTATTTTTGTTTCAGAATCGGTGATACCTTTAGTGGGGAACGTGTTTAGCTTTGTTTGTACAAAATATCCGCCAGACTGGAGATGGGCTTTAATCAAGGTTTTTAACTTTAATGAAAATTTCTTATTTAATTTGCTCGGTACATATTTAGTCTTGTTTCAGGTTTTAATGTGGACTTTCGCTATATTCTGTGGACTGATTATCGGCAAATTGTTTATTCATAGTATGCTTTTTGGAAAATATCTCAGACTGAAAATGTTCAGAGATGAACAGGTAAAACGAAAAAACTGTTAAATTTAAAATGTTTGTTTTTGAGCTAATTGTTTCTTATGTAAACTAAAATACATTTTCGATTTAGTTTTTAGTTTTCACTGTGTTTAATTTTCTTATTTATCATATCAAATGTTCTGGATTTAATTTCTAAAGTTGCCCTTGATTTTTTTAAATTTTTTTAATATACAATTCAAGGAAAATATACTAAAGAAGAAAAAATACAACACAATTTTAAACATCTTAAAACCATTAATTACTTTTCAAAGTTGATCTTGCTTACAAAAATATACAAAAAATGTGTTTTATACCATGAAACAGTTATGTATAATTTTCCTAAGTAAAATGTATATATACTCAATTATAAATAATTTTTCTTTTTGAAAAAATATGTATAATTAATTAAGTATATGTAAAATTAAAAATTACGTGATAAAAAATAATAAAAGTTGGTAAAATATACATATTTAAAAATTGGGACTATGGTGGTCGAATTGTCAGGGCATTTGTCTTGAATATGCCACACTAGCAGATCTGGGTTCAAATCGTGGCTAGTTCTGGGAATTTTATTTGTGTCCATTTTGGTAAAAGGTATTTGAAACAATTAATCAAGGTTTTTAGTTGAGATAAAAAAGTCAATGGCATGAGCGGGATTCGAACTCACGATCTTCGGCTTGATACGCCGGTTGAGATGGGAAGTTGATGTCCGAGTGGATCGGGGTCACGATGGCTGAGAGTGGTAGAGCAGCGGCGTATGAAGCCAAAGATCGAGTTCGAATCCCGCTCGTGCCATTGACTTTTTTATCTCAACTAAAAACCTTGATTAATTGTAATATATTATTTGGACAGGCGAATCACGAAATTAGTGAATTTAGGTATTTGTAAAGTTGTTCTGACCCCTCAATTGCGATACCACTAGCCCTTCTATGTGGCAGGGAATACTTTACTTACTCTACATATTTAAAATTTTCAGGGGTCCTGGATGGCAATGTCTCTGACAGTGATCCTATCGCTTTATTTATTTTCTTTTGTTTACAATTTCATACTTGAAATATTCTACAACAAACTTAATTATACGATTGATAGCCGTATGGGACTTTCAAATTCTACGTGAGTATTTCTTAATTTTTATAGTTTTCTTTTATCTTTTAAAATGGTTTCAATTTTTCAGTGTGATGAAAGCCGCTGCTTGTGGCACTTGGCTCGGCGATTTGATCACATGGCTCATGGTCACCGACGTCATGCTGCAAGATTCTTTGTATCCAGACTGGGCCCCTGCTCTTCGCAGGATCTGGCGCAAGACGAACATCCCTCGGATACTTATATTTTGGGTCGGTTCTGCTCTCTGTACTGCGTTTGTTGTCACGTTAATTGTCTCAGATATTATTTCTTGGGATACACTGAATCAAGACTTTGTCGCTAGTACAGGTATTTTAAGTTTTATAGCAAAGCCGAATTTGTAAAAAGAGGCTTTTTCATTTTTGCAGAACTTTCGAGGGCTTTCCTAGCTTCATTTATATTAGTACTAGATTTAGTGATAATGATGCAAGACTGGGATTTCCCTCATTTCACCACAACTGTCCATATAAATTTGCCAGGATTTTCTGTGGCGACCCTCGAATGGAAATACGCTGAAGTAAATCTGACAGGTCTGGTTGTTTTTAAAATATTTTTTTTTTATTTGAAGATAAAAGTGAATTTATTTTTAAAATTTCCAGGAAAGTGGTTCAGTTATGGTGTCATATTCATGGTGATGATGTTGGATCTTAACATGTGGAAAAATCAAATATTTTACAACCCTAGTAAATTCGGCCAATATGTTGGTACGTTGTTCTTCAGGGTGTCTTTAAACCCAAAATTTTACAATGTTGACATTGTTCCAGGGCCGCATAATAAAATACACACGATCCTTGATCCTGTCCTACTCCAAACAGGAAATGCGTCGCTTTGGACAATCGAAGAAAGGTCCAAAATTAATGAGACGACAAAACTGCCATATTCAGCAAGTATGTATAATATGGCTGTCATTAACTATTTTCTAAACATTTTCTAAAGCATATTAAATTATAATTTCTTTAGGTGATATGAAGATGAATTCGAGATACATGGGTTATCCTTTGATAATCAAATGCACTGCATTTATACCTTCCATTTTGACATTGAGTCTATTCCTGTGGATCATCTACCTCTACGGTCGATTTCCAAATAAGGTATGTGCAAATATAGATTATTTATGTGGGTAACGAACAACCCAAAATTTATATTTTCTATTAAGAAACATGCATTGCCTTACAGATAAGTTAAACTTAGGAAAATCTTGAATTTCCTTTGGTGGTTTATTCAATAAAAATAAATTATTACAAAACATCAACGTGTAATAAAATATCTAAAATTTCCTTTTTAATTATGTGTATATTTTCATATGTTTATCGTTATTTGTACAGAATAAACCAGTGTCCAGCGAAGAAAAAGAAATTGACCTCAACTCCGAAGATGGAATCACTGTGTAGGACACAATGATTACAACGATTATTTTATTTTGTTTTTAAAATAAGACATAACGCTAATGCCGATAAAAATAATACACAATATTCATCGAGACATGTTCTGAAAATAAAACAATATAATTATTTTCCAATTTTTGAATCTGGCCTGGAGTAATGGCGGTTGAAACAATTTTGCATTTACACAGTTGCTCAGAGCACAAGGTCACTAAACTATTACCATAAGAATTATCAAATAAGAGAATAATTTTTTAAAACTTTTCTACAAAAATCATATTTATCGCCAATATGCAGTCAATTTCTAAATATCTTCATCACTTCACGGGACACGACTAAGTTTTTACTTTCTAATGCGTTTATATGTATAATTAAAAAATAAAATAAAATTCCTATGGAATTAATTAAGGTAAAACAAGTCGGTAGAAGTAATTTAAGCATTTTGAAAATAACTTGTTCAGAGTACACAAACTTACACGGGATAACATATAATAATGTTTGACAGTTTCTGTTTGATTACTTTGTTTTTATAATATTACAAATATTCTGTCAATGAGATATTTCAGGCTGTCTTCCTTAAATTTTATCTTGCCTTATCTTCCTTTTCTGTGCTATGCTTCCTTGTACCATTTGCCTTCATAATTATTATGGGATACAATTTTCATTTTTAGTTAGATATATTGTAAAAAAAAAATACTTTGATGTATCTCCAAAATATGATAAAAAAATAAACATAATATGTTCTTAGGCTAATTACTTGATCTCAACACTTAAGATTGTACAATTTTTTTTTTTTAAATTTGTAGAAGGCGTTTCTTAATGAAAATTGACACTGTTCTGCAGTAAGTTGTAATTAATAAAATTTGAATGACATGTATGTACTTTTAAAATGTATATTGATCATTTCTATGAAAAATATTTGTGAGAAGAAACTCAACAAAAACAGATTTCTGTATTGTGTTTATGAACTTATACACAACTAACTAGTCCAATGTATCAAAGAAGGCAGCGTATTTGTTGTAGATTAGTTTTTTGTAAGTGCAAAATGTTGAGCCAATATTTTTTTAATTTTTCAATTAAAAGCTGCCAGAATTGTTTTGCTCCATGTCCTCCAATTATTTTAGTCTGTTTTAATTTAAAAAATAATGGATAAAATGAGTGAGATCCATTTTGGTTATGTGAAGTCAGTGTGAAGCTTGGTACGCTAGGTTAAAATAAAATAAATCAAAACAGAACTAGTTATGAGAAAGCTTTTAACTTTTTCCAAGCTTTTGTAGACAATATTATTGATAAAATTTCAGTTGTGTGTGTATTATCTGATGAATCTTAAAAAACAAAATAATTAATAAATGTTTTACTTATATGTATATTTTTTTAATAAAGTAATATTTAAAATGTCAAATTAGATGTAACGAAAGTTACCAATTTATGTATATTGGCCATTTTATCTCATGTGATCTGTACCTGAGAGTTTATCCTTTTTTTTTTTTTTTTAAAGTACTTATTAAAAGGTACAGCAGTGGTTAATCCATATATTTTTATTGAATTTTACAGAAAATATATTCTTTTTTTAAACGTAATATATTTTAAAGTGCAATATACAAAATTTGTTTAAATAAAACAAAGATCATACAAATATTACTTTATTCTGACTATATTCATTCTATTTTTACTTAATGTCGGCTGTGCTTTAGAGAACAAGATTTTGTAAACTCTTTTTGTAAATATTCGCTTGGCAATTTAATGTTCCTTGAGGCCGTTCATTGTGTATTATCAAAAATTTATATTTAGTTGGTAATTTTTTGTTTATATTATATTTGTTTATTTATTATTTTTACTACTTATTGTACTTAAAGTTTTCAGTTTTGAAAGCATAGAAAATTCATTTCTTTTCTTTCTAATATTCTTGAAATCAGTTTATCGTTTGTACAGAACGAGGGAGGACCAATCTACAAAAGAAGATAAGTAAAAATATGTTGTATAACTATTTAATATGTAGCAATAGAGTTACATTATTGTTTGTTAGTTGTTGTCAGAGTCTACAGTACAATAATGTTACAAAAAAAAAAAAAAAAAGAAAAACAAAGAAAAAATATTTTTGATGTAGTCATAAATAAGGACATGCCTCAAAGTGTCCTTAGGTGAACAGAAATTCACTAGGCCGTAATCAAATTGCAGTTTTTGGCAGAAATGTAAAAGTGTGAGAGAAAATGTATTTTAGACATGAGAGGAAACTCTTGTTTTGATCAAAGTGAAATGTATAATCATATATAATGTAAAATTAATGCTGATGATGTGCACAATAAACGATTAATAAAAGGTTGTATTTTTTAATGACACCCGTTGTAATTTTAAATTTTTCTTTTTCAATCTAAAGAGGTCAATTTTTTGTGTTAATTTATAATACATCAATAAAATGTTATCTCAGTTTTAATTATACTATAAAAATCATGTTTATTTGATACACTTATTATAAAAGCAATCTCAAATGATTTTTAATTTATTTTTGCTAATCATTATAACAACTTCCTGCTCCGATTTTTGCCTGTCTGACACATTTCAGCATTTCACAATCTTCAGTTGTTAGTCTATGCCATTTTGTTGGCTGTGCTGTTTTATATCTTTGTAAAATGTGGAAGATAAAACAATGCACAGACACAACCAGAAAATATTCATTTTAAAGCTAATTAAAAAAAAAAAAAAAAAAAAAAAAAACCTTGTATAGGTATTGGAACCCACCTACTATCGGCTTGTAATGGTTCAGTTTTCTCCCGGAGAAATGTTTTTGGGAATCGTGTAAGATATATGACCATTTCAAATTAGGTCTCACCCCGTAAAGAATATCTCAGGTCCTATTAATTTATAATCAAGCACAAGTTAAAACCAACATAAATTTTTTAATGAGGCTTTTGGGGTGATGTAATTCCAGTTTGATTGTTTCTTTCTTCCAGTTTGATCTCAGAGTTTTTTTTTCTGTCAGATATGTTTTACTATTTCGCCAACTTCAATAGTTGATCTGTGACTAAAACTGCGAAACCTTGTACTGAGGCTTGTGAGGTGATGAATTTGCAGCTCAAGTGCGAGATACGACTGACAAAACCTATACATAGATCAATCACTGGTATTCCGAAATGGTGAAAAAAACTTGTATATTGTATCGGTATTGATAGATTAATAAACAACATTGACAATTCATAATAATATAATTAAACGAGAAAAACAGTAAAAAATTATGACTATATAAAATGGACTTACAAAATTAACCCATTTAAAGTCAAAGACTATGGATATCATATTGGTAAAACCTACCGAACTTGATCATTCATTACATAAAACACAACTGCAAACAATCTATAAATAAATATTTAAAAAAAAGGAAAAATCATTCTAATATTAGTTGAAAAAAACTTGTATAGGTATTGATAGATTAATAAACAACACTATTAATTCACAATAATATAATTAAACGAGAAAAACAGTAAAAAAATTGACTATATAAAATGGACGTATAAAATGAATGATGTATAAACGTTTATAAAAAAAATTACAACAATAAGAGAGGGTGTGGTTTGAGAAGTAGAGGGTTCACAGGAACAGGCAGCACTGCTGGGTAGGGCAGAATACCTCTTTTCAGCAGGAGTGATTTGAGCAACAAGCTTCCCTGAGACTGTTAAATAAAAAGTGAAATTTAAATTATTGTAATGTTAAATTATTAAACAACTCTTACGCTTGCGATCATCAGGAGGACGAGTAAGGCGACGAGGCAGACTGCTTTTGTCGTGTTCATCTTGGCTTTTCGAAAAAGTTATTGATAGTTTACCGTGGACCCTCACTTGTTTTATACAGAGTGAAAACAAAACGTTTAGGATTCGGTCACGTTTTCAACTCAATTACAAGTACAAAGCGTAAATAACAAACTACGAGTTTGTTTATGTGTATTTTTAATTCCTGACTTCCGACGAAAACAATTTCACATTTGTAAATAACAAAGGACACTTTTTTTTCTTCTTTTTTTTAAACGAGGGTTTGCAACATCAGAGGTCATATAAACCCTCAGAGTGCCGGTGTTTTTGAAAAAAAAAAAAAAACTATTTGTAGGTATGTCGGGTTCGAATGCAGGGCCGCTGGATTCGAACCCGGGACCTTTACCATACAGTGATGAGCGCCGTGTCAGCGCCTAAACCGTTGCGGCCGTTTTGTAATTAAAACTAAATTCTTGGGGTGGTCGGGTGACATGGGAATATTTATCAGTTAATACTGTCTTCCGACTCGTTTAGATCTTTAATGGATGCGTATGTTTCTCTCGGCTTAGGTCAATTATTGACGAAGTGAAATCATCAACGAGGATAATAAAAAAAAGGAAGAAAAAAAAAGAGGATTTTCTTTCAATAGTGAAATAGACGGTGTCGATTTGAACTGCGTTTCATTAATTACCTGTCTGATTCATTATTGACGTGAAAACAAAACCATTAAATATCGTAATGGTTAATGGAAAAAAAATTAATTCGCAATAAATAACGCTTAACAATGCTTAATTTTGAAAACTGTGACAATTAATTAAAGTTTTTAGTTGAGATGAGAAATGGCAAAAGGAGGGAAAACTCATAAGGTGGGGTTGAGATGGGGAGTTGATATCCGAGTGGATCGAGGTCACGATAGCTCAGGTGGTAGAGCAGCGGCGTATCTAGCCGAAGGCCGTGGGTTCGAATCCCTCTCGTGCCATTAGCTTTTTTTCATCTCAACTAAAAACCTTAATTAATTGTCATGTATTAATTAGTCAAGCGGACGACGAAAGTAGTGAATTTGAGAACTGTTTTAGTTTACTTTCTTGTTCGCCTCATCCAGTCTCATTTTCATAATGTTTGTGCTTAAAGTAATGATTTATTAAAGAAGTTTTAATGAGCTTTGTTAAGCTTTAATCAGTTTTTCAAAAATCCATTAGGAAAGTACGACTCATTTTTGGAGGAGGGGGGGTTGTTGCGAACAAACAGAGGGGTGTAAAAACCGAAAAGAACAATTCTGGTACAAGGAAGGTCTGAAATTCAACCAGTGTGGTGAAATGCCGAAGACGAGAATAGACCAGATTTAAAACAATCAAATTGATGACAAATCGACCGTTTGTTGATCTTTTAACATAACTCAAAACGACAAAATACATTAAATTGCTCAGTTGAAAGAAGTTTAATTAGTCAAACAGGCGAATAAAAAAATCAGATTCGCTTAATCTCGCTGTTTTTGTTTACAGTTCACTCATCATAATAATTTAAGTGAAAAAATAATAAAGGAACTGAGAAAATGGAAAATATATTATCAATGAATTGACAGTAATGATTAAAGGGATTTTAGCCGACACTAAGCTATCTACTTAAAAACAGCGAGAACAGGCGGTCCAGAATGTTTACATACATCTTTGAACAAATGATGAAGAATGGAATTTACTAACCTATACCTCAATTCTAAAATTCTATTGTCTGATGTACACCAAACGAGAAAATATTATAAATTGTTCAGCCGAGGTTTCTAGTCAAACAGGTGAATAAAAAATCTGGTCCGTTTAGTCTCGCTATTCTTTTGTTTCATCATAATAGTTTAAAAGAAAAAATAATAAAGGAACTGAGAAAATGAAAAATATGATATTATTAGTATAATAATATTATATTGATAGTAATGATTAATGGGATCTTAGCCGACACTAAGCTATCTACTTAAAAACAGCTAGAACAGGCGGACCAGAATGTTTAAACACATCTTTAGACCAATAATGAAGCATTGAATTTATTAATCTAAAGTTAAATTCTAAAATTTTATTTGATGTACACCAAACAAGAAAATATTATAAATTGTTCAGCCGAGAAGGTTTATTACTCAAACAGACGAATAAAAAATCTGGTCCGCTTTGTCTCGCTAGTAGGCTTCACACTTCAATGTTTACTCATGATAATAATTTAAGAGAAAAAATAATAACGGAACTGTGAAAATGAAAAATATCATATTATCAATATAACAATATTATAATGATTATATTATAGTATAATCAATATAATATTATCAATTGATAGTAATGATTAATGGGATTTTTGCCGACACTAGGATATCGACCTAAATAAAGCAAGAACAGGCGGACCAGAATGCTTAAATACACCCTTCGAAAGATAATGAAGCATTGAATTTATTAATCTAAATTCTAAAATTCTATTGTTTGATGTACACCAAACAAGAAAATATTACAAATTGTTCAGCCGAGAAGGTTAATTAGTGGATCAGGTGTATAAAAAACAACAAGAGAGTGCGGTCCGCTTAGTCTCGCAAGTATGCTTCTTACTTCAGTGTTTACTTACGATAATAATAGTTTATGTGTAAAATTAATAAATAAACTGAGTTATTAAAAATATCATTTTATCAATTAACTGATACTAATGAATTAATGATAAATGGGATTTCATCAGGTACTCGTCTTATCTACCTAAAACCAGCGAGAACAGGCGGACCAGATTGTTTAAATACATCGTTATGCAAATAATGAAGCGTTGAATTCATTTATCTAAAGTTAAATTGTAAAATATTATTGTTTGATGTACACGAAACAAGAAAATAGTATAAATTGTTTAGCCGAGAAGGTCCTCCAACAGGAATAAAACTGAAATGGAGAGACAGAAACAAACTGTGGAAAAACCATCCATCACTCATGGCTCCAAGAGATGACATGAACAGGAAGTTTGAATTTAACCAAAAATTCCGAATACATCGGGCACCAAAAAGGAATGGGAAAGAAAGGGAAATAACTCCCTCAAAAATGGCACCATCCTTTGGTACACAGATGGATCTAGAACACAAGAAGGTAAGGGGGCAGGAGTATTTGGACCCGGAACCAAATACTCAGAACCCATGGGAAAACACACCAGTATCTTCCAAGCTGAAATTCACGCAATTGAAAGATGTATCCAATTCAATCTAAATAGAGGATACAACAACAAGAATATAGCTATCATGTCAGATAGCCAAGCAGCCATCAAAGCACTAAGCTCAAATACCATTAGTTCAAGGATGGTGCTGAACTGCAAAACGAAACTAAATATATTAGGTATGCAGAATAAAGTCAGCCTCTTCTGGGTCCCAGGATACATGGGAGTAGAAGGCAATGAGAAAGCGGACACCCTTGCAAGGAAAGGGGCTGCCACACCGCTGATAGAACCCGAACCCTTCTGCGGCATAGGAATCCACACTATTAACGAATATCTCAGACAGAAGGACAAAAGGAAAATGAGTGAACTTTGGAATTCACTTATTGGACATAGAGAATCCAAGAATCGTCTAACCAATTTTGGCAAGAAAGAAATCACAGAATGTGTCAAAGGAAACAGGAATAGACTGCGAATCCTAACAGGATTCCTGACAGGACACTGTAGATTAAATGGACATCTAAAGAAAATTGGAATAATCCAAGATGGCACATGTAGATTTTGCAAGAAAGCAGAAGAGACACCAACACATTTACGAACAAACTGCGGAGCTACATTAGCCCGCAGGAGGAAGTGTTTTGGGATGTACAATGTGACCATAGAAGGCTTCAACCACTGAAACCGGGCCTATTAATCAAGTTTCTTGATGAAATAGGACTCACCGATGTGCTTTAGGCAGAGCACGAGGGATACAATAGCTCTTAAAGGGCGCAGTATACTATACCCTGAAATTACATCTACATCTACATCTAGCCGAGAAGGTTAATTAGCCGAACAGGTGTATAAAAAACAACAAGAGAGTGCGGTCCGCTTAGTCTCGCAAGTATGCTTCTGACTTCAGTGTTTACTCATGAGGATAATAGTTTAGGTGTAAAATGAATAAATGAACTGAGTTAATAAAAATATCATTTTATCAATTAACTGATAATAATGAATTAATGATAAATTGGGAGGTCCGAAGTCGTCGAATGTAATATTCTAAATATTATAATAATATAATTNTTATTATTATAATTATAATTATAATATTCTAATATATATACTATATTCTGCAAGTGCCTTTAATCAGTTCTGAAGGGATAAAAATAACAATAGTTTGTATAAATAATGTTTTCTTTCATAATTGATATAAAAATGAATTAATGATAAGTAGGTTTACATGCGACACTAGTCTACTTAAAAACAGCGAAAATAGGCGGACCAGATTGTTGAAAGGCATAATTGGACAAAAAATATATACATTATTTGCATACATTAAATTTTAACTAAAGTTCAATTCTGAAATTTCATTGTTTGTTGAATTTGATTTGGATTCATCTATGTTTTTTCATAATTGATATAAAAATGAATTAATGAAAAATGGGATTACATCAGACACTAGTCTACCTAAAATCAGCGAAAACAGGTGGACCAGAATGTTGAAAGACATATTTGGACAAATAACACATACATTATTCAACTAAAGTTCTATTCTGAAATTTCGTTGTTTGTTGAATTCGATTTTGATTGATCCCTGGTCCGCCTTGTTTCATTTTGTCTCATTTGTAATAAGCTGTATTTATTTTTATTAAACACTTCATTAACTATTCAGAGAATTTTTATGAGTTTACTAGTGCTAATAGACACGAAAACAGAAAGTTTATAGTTTGTTGAAATTTATATTAACTGAAATTCATTTCACGGTATCAAACTTACACCGGTAGCGGACATCGTTTGACTTCAGTAAACAAACTGAGTTCAACTTGCAAAATCCTAAATAATCAGCATCGTTTTACTTGGCTATTCGCGACGCACACTTTGCCCGACCCAGGTCAGTTAATGTGTGCCTCGTTTACAGTATTGGACTGTAAACCACAAACGGAAATCACCCTCTGCTCGAGTAGTCTTGAATCGTCATCCTCGACTTCTGGTATTCTTCTTTGAGCATTTGGTATTTGTAAGACATCGATTTCAGTTTCTTGTTTAAACAGCGGATTGTAAGGTTTTGGCTGTTCATTTCCTCTTTCAGCCGAGGGCACTGGCACTGAAAATTTGAAAAAAAAAGAAGAATAACACAAACCGAATTTCACGATGCCACCTTTACCTTGCTTACCCCTTTTAACTTGGCGTCATAGCTTGCGAGTCGATTTTTCAGAGACTTCAATTCGCTTTCCAACTTTTCTTTGTTCCTTTGGAACTTTTCGATCGTAGATGAGAGATTTCTCGACTCGGATATGTATTCGTGCGCCCTCTGTTCAAATCTCTTCATCTGATTGTCGTATTGCTCATCTTTCTTCTCAATTTCCATCAAAAGCTTCTCATTTTCGTCTTGAAGCGCCTTAAACTGAGAAAATTTAAATAATTTTACAATTCAAGCTTTTATATAAACTGGGTGTGAATTTGTGGGAAGATAATGTGAACCATGCCATCAGGGTACATGACTTAGCTCTTATATTGCAAGGGAAAAACCTCGGCGCTCAAATTGTAAATAGATCAAATTGCTTTAAAAACAATACAAAACTGGTATCAAAGGGCAAACCAAATCCAAAACGATAAATTGCCATTTCGTTGCCATTGGTTTCCTTTACGCTAAAAACGTTACATTTCCAAGGTATCCAACTAAATAAAATAAAATCTGGAGTTTACAAGCGGAAAGAAACTATTTACGACATAAGAATCTTGAATTAAAAGTGATTGAAAACTAAGTTTATATTTTGAACTACCAATTGCAGAGGAAATACCCACTTTCTGTCGGATTGTGGTGCTTTAGTTCTATCCTGGAGAAAGTGTTTTTGGGAATCATGTAAGAGATACGACCAATACAACCGGGTAAAATAATTTCTTTATGAATTAGGTCTCACCCCTTAAAGAAAGCAATATATCAGGGCCTAATAATTTATAATCAAGCACAAATTAAAACCAACATAAATTTTTTTAATGAGGCTTTTGGGGTGATGCATTTCCAGTTTGATTGTTTCCTTCTTGTTGGACAGTTTGTTCAAGCTGTTTTTTGTTCTGTCAGACTTGTTTTGCTATTTCGCCAACTTATTAGTTAGTCTGGGACTAAAACTTTGCGAAACCTTGCACTGAGGCTTGTGAGGTGATGAATTTGCAGTTCAAGTTCAGCTGACAAAACCCACCAATCACTGGTATTCCGAAATGGCGAAAATATACCATAACCATTCAGAATCATAATAAGAGAAGTACGAAAGCGGCTACAGATTGAAATATCATGGTAAATATGAAAAGTCAAAGACCATAGTCATCGCATTGATAAAACCTACCAAACTTGAGGTATTGATCAATACATTCCATAAAATACATCTACAGAGAATCCATCAGAGTACCAAAACAAAAAATGTATTTATCCTCTAAATTTGCTAAATAATATCTGTAGTTTTTTAAAATAATTTTGCTTTTACGGGGACCGACCCAATACTGAAAAAGAGCGAAAAGTTAAAACGTGTCTGACAGTCCAGAGAAGCGAGGGATAGGCAGGCGAAAATGGAAAACAAGCTTCACCCCTGCAGACGCCCATAAAAAGAAATCTTACAAATCGATAATAATTTTTGTGCATTTATTGTTGCGGTGTTGCAATGTCTAGGTTAAAATTCGAAAATAGGCCAAACCACGATTGAAAAGTATCGATGGGATGGCAAATATGGAATAGAACATATACAAACTTCTAATTACCTGGGTTGTTAATGATGATATATTGTCTGGCAGTATTCTGAAAAAAAGGGTTAAGTTTGAATGTGTATGTAATGTAATATGGGATTTTTATCTTAAAACATTTGAACTTACTTGCACGGTATTAGTTTTGTTTTCTTCGACGTTCCATGGCTCGTTTTAAATTTAGCCACTTTTTCCTAGAATAATTTGAAACGTGATTATTTCTATATGTTATTAAGGATTTGTTTAGATTGATAGAAATTTACCTTTAGCTTAAACACCGTTGACGAGAGTTCTGCTTTCTCCTTGATTGCGATTTTCAATTCGTTTTTAAAACATTCAACTTCACGTTTGTAATTATCGGCCTCCTGGGTCGCCTTGATGAGTGACTTTGTCAGCTTCTCGTTGTCTAAAATGTCTTTATCCTTGTTGATGAGCAGCGTATCGAAATCGGTTTTGAGATCGTTATAAGCCTGCTGGAGCATCTTGTGATCCGTTCTGAGTTCCGAGAGCACATCTTTCAGAGCTTTGTTCTCCTCTTGGAGCAGATGTATCGACATGGTCTTTTCATCTTTTTCTTCGCCCGATTTCGAAAGTTCGGTTTTCTTCAATTCCGCCAGTTCCCGTTCCAATTCCTGGTTTTTCATTTTGATGTTGGCCATCTCCAGTTTGAGGGAGTCGTTCACCTGGGAGATCTTCTCGTTTTCTTCTTCCGCAAGGAACTTCTGGTAGTTTATCTCGTCCAGGGTGGCCTGCTTCTGTTCCAGCTCTTCCAGTTTGGCCCGAGCGCATTTGAACCCGTCTTCGGATCTATGGCTCCTTTCTGAAAGAATCTTTAATAAAATCGACAATGCGAACTACGTCAGCGTCTTACCCTCTGCGAGTTGCCTGTGCAGCTCTCTGCATTTTTTCTCGCTAATGTAAAGCTGGTCGTTTAGCTCCTTTTTAATGGCGTTTGCCTGTGGTAAAACTATTAATTTTAATATTTCACACAAGAGCTGACGAAACAATAGTTTTATCACCTACTTCTGCCAAGTCTCGATAGACTTTATTGTATTCTTTCTGTAAAGTAAGGAGGTTTCTGCCAGTGTTCATCGAACCGGCATCGCCGGAATCACCTAAATCGTCAACCTCAACTTTATTATCGAGTGAATTTTCGAACTTTCGATAAAGATTCAATATTTAATTTTGGCAATTAAAAGAAACCGCCTACCTCTTTGGCTGATTATACCGATCTTCAGTTGGGGCACTTCTATATTTTCTTTGCAGTTCACCTCCAGTATCTCACCTTTGAGTTCAACGAGCTTATTGTGCAAAACTGAAAGCCCATCCTGAAACGATAAACCTCTGGATAATGGGTATTTTAAACGAACTCGATTCCGATGCCCATACTTGTTTCTCCTGAACCTCCTTGGCGACCCGGTTGTACTTTTTCGCCAGGAAAACGTATCTGGACTTCATCTTCGTCAAGGCGTCTAGCTTCTGGTTTTTCTTCGGAGGCCCGTCGCCTGGGGGTGAAATCATCCGGTTAAAATCGAATTCGAATAATAGAATCGTAATAAAATGACAGACATGTGTAAGGCTTCTTGGGCAGAACCGGGGTCTGTTTCTTCGTTGTCGCGGACCTTATCAATTTGGACCGGGACGAGTCGCCGGAATTCTTCGGCTTGTTATTCTCGTTCTCCATCCTCCTCGGAGGCTCCTTAACGACGTATTTACCAGTCTTCTACAATTATTTATAACATAATTTATAAATTTAACAACAGAGGGACAATAAAAATGCCGACCATTTGGATATAATCGGGTCACCTCAGGATCGACTCTACCTTCTCTTGGACCCTTTTGACAAAAAGACAAACAATTTCAAAAACAACAAATACAACGATAATAAAATTAAAACAAGGCATTCTTTTGTGTTATGTTTAAGAATTTAAGCTTAATCATCGTGAATAGCCGATAATCAATCCATATTACCAAGCCAGCGTCATCTAAGGTTCTGCATCAGCATATATTTACGTTTTAGTAGTCAATTGACCAAGTTACGTCTTTCAATTAATTATTCTTTTTATGTAAGGTTGGTTTAGACAAAAAAAGTCAGTGTCACGAGCGGGATTCGAATCCACGACCTTCGGCTAAATACGCCGCTGTTCTACCACTTGAGCTATCGTGACGTCATATGTCGCCGAGAATCGAAGCCTGATTACACATTTGAAAAATGGCAAAAAGAGGGAAAATTCGAACTGTTGTAGGTTGAGATGGACAATTGGTGTCCGAGAGGATCGAATTCACGATATCTCATGTGGTAGAGCAGCAGCGTATTTAGCCGAAGGTCACGGGTTCGAATCCCGCTCGTGACACTGACTTTTATCTAAACCAATACAAGCATAAAAAGAATAATATATTTCATTTCTTTAATACTTAATTTTTATTAATGAAACGTTCTTTTTAATCTTGAATATTAATGGATATAAAAATTTATGCGACATAACCAACAATTTAAATGTAATAATATTATACACAGAGCTTATAAATTAATAAGAATATATGTATAAATAAAACACATCAATTTTTGATAAACGTCAGTCTGTCATCGTCCATTTATCAATCCGCTTATTAGCCAAAGCTTTGATGACTGTCTCATTTGAGTTTCACGTCGTCAATTGGGATCGATTGATATTCGAATGATGATGGATGAAGTGAAACAAACGTCATTCAAAAACGAGTTTCGTCGGATTAGAGACGTTCGCGTCATTCGAGACAAACAGCTTCGATCAAACTACCTAATCGTTTATTTATTTTCCTGACATGGAATTGTGCAATGCTTTAAAGAGGTGTAAATGTCTGTGCCTGTCATGCCTGACTAAATGTTGTTATATTGGGCTGTTAAGAATAAGATTGCAGGGTCGAATTTTTGAATAATTAACTCTGCAGATTTGTAAACATTTTTGCTCTAATACTAGAGAATTTTTCATATCGTGTATTTTCTAATAATCAACAATTTCTCAATTGCTTTAGATTAATGAATGAAAACAATTATTAAATTGTTGTAAAATAGAGGCTAATTTGTTTGCCCTTTTGAGACACGTACTTCAACAATCTTTTTTTTCACATTTAAAACAAATATTTACGTACGTTTGATTTCGTATTTATAAAGGTTTTAAAAGGATTTTAATCTGCCGATCCATTTTACCCTATAAAGATAAAACAACCAAAACACTACCACTCAGTATTTAATAAATGTTAACTTTCTTAAATTTTGGAAAAACAGTTCCAGCGCTTTTAAATAAATTTTATTACCAAGTAATAATTTTTAATTTTCACTATTAGAAGTATCGACCAATTTTTTTACTTAGGAACACTGGATCAAGTTATGGTCTTGAAGAAGAAAGCAAATTTAGTAGTTAATACCAAGCTTTCGACCTATTTTAAGGTCACCATCAGGGCAAAAAAAACAAAACAAATTTAAATATGTCTACAGATTGTCATATTTAAGTGTTTTTTTGCCAGGCAATGTTGGGACTGAATCGTTCATCAAGGAAATTTGAGACCGCCTTTAAAAAAACAAACAATAAAAACTTAAATATGTCAATTGGTAGACATAACATGACATATTGGTTTGCCGTGATGGTGACCTTAAAATAGGTCGAAAGCTTGGTATTAGCTACTAAATTTGCTTTCTTCTTCTTCAAGACCATACCTCGATTCAGAGTTTTCGTAAATAATTTTAATGATTGGCTGGACTAAAAAAAGGAATAATTCTGCTTTTGGTTTTTTTCTTATAAGGGCAAGCCACGGATGTAGGATAAAGACATACACATAGAAATAGCCACTGCCTTAGTTGTACATCTTTCCAGGCTATTACATATCAGCCAGAAAAAAGAGATCAGATATATAAATGTTGCAAAAGATGCTACTAGTAAAACAGGCAAAAAATTTTATTCACACTTAAATATCACCCTTAAATACGGATTTTCATACCAATAAAAAATATACATTTTTTGCCCGAGGCAATTTATTTTATCCGTTGTCTTGTGTTTCATATAAAATTTCGTAACTTTTCTGGATTTTATCTACATTCGACGTTATTGAACCGTTGGAAAGGTGAATTTCCTTCTTTTAGGCTACGCCAACAAACTTAAATTTGTCAAATGTCAACAAGGCAGAAAAATAAGAATGAAATTAATAGAAACCATTCAAATGTTTTATATGGTACCATATAGAGAGCGTGTACGAATGCCTCCCAATATGAAAATTGTGCTTAAGCCCAGCATTTGTGCCTTCAATTCCGTCTTTTGGAGAAAACAGGGATCTTTTATACTAGCAGATATCTCGTTTTGAGTCCCCTAGTTTGTCTACGGAGTGAATGTATTTATTAGTGTGAATGTATAGTGTGAGATAGGGTATTCAATTTTCCGCCACTTACTTTTGGGCCAAAGCACGTGATGCGTCCGGTATACAGAGAAAAGTTGCTCGTCCTTCTTAATTGAATTGTTTCGGCCCTTGGTTCCATATAAAGAGCGGGTAGGAATTCCACCCGATAAGGAAAGCAAGAAAGAAGAGCACGGTAGCGATTCTTTGGGTTCGTTGTTACGATTTTTGGAAGAAAAAGTGCTAGTTTATGTTTATAGTACTGGTGGAAATCTTGTTTTGCGAGAGTGAATGTATGTATTATCGAGAATGTATAGTGTGAGAGGGCCTATGGTAGAATATCGAGTACTCTGTGCTGTTTTATTGTAAGTAGATACTTAGTTTTTTATTTTATTTTGCCTACAGTGAGAGTGAATGTATTTCTTAGAGTGGATGTCTAGTGTGAGAGTATCTCAACGACTCTTAATTAAATTAATTATACAGTATGTTCAAGAGGTTTTGTAGAATATCTTGAACTCCACCTAATTGAGTAAAGGGTACGTCACTAAAAATGCGTTTAAGAATGAGTGAACTCTCACTCTTGTTGTTTTTGGGGCCTGAAATGACTTAGCTCTTGACAGCCCTTGGAGTTTAACTTTGGTAAGTGCAAAGCTGAGCTTATCCATATCAATCAATCATACGTTTCAATTTATCTACGAAGGAAAAGTTTGCGCCTTTACCCGAAATGTATAGTGTTCTAAAATCCAGTAAAGTTTTAAGTGGATTGGTACAGTTCTTTAAAAGTTATTACTCATTACCATTTTTGTGCTTTTCGAAAAACAAAAATCCCAGGCATTTGAAATATCAGGATTTTGATAATTTTTTTTATTTTCACGAAAATATTGTGTTGTATATTTTTGGAGTGCGATAACGAATATCGAATTTGCTTCTTGCTAAAAACTTAATTTAACCTGCTTCGCTAAGTCGTTACCTTTACCAAACCATTTGGTGGTGTTAAAGTGGCGAACACAGACCACAGAATGTCTTCATAAAGAAAAAAAATTACCTACCATTTCATACCACGTTGTTAATTATTTTGTCTGACTAAAAGTCGCAAACGTGGACCCTTGTGGGGTAGTTTTACCTTCGGGGTGTTTTTCTTTTGTCCGAGTTGTGACTTCCTGCGACTGTTTTTGCATGACGGCGCGGATTTTCTGTTGTTACTGCTGCCTCTTTCGCCCTTTTACAGCAGAAAAATTTAGGTCGCCTCCTTCACCATCAGGACCGTTGGGATCGGGTCGTAACGGAAGGTGCCAAGTGTTTCTGTCGCCTCGGAGTTTGCATCAGTGAAGGATCCAATTTCAGAACAAATAAGCCAAAAACGCTAACTGACACGGAATTCAGGCTAGTATAAAATTTACGTGGTTAAAATAAATAATATATTCATGAGTTGTGCGAAAGTTGAGAAATTTATACAATATACTAGCCGGAAAAATAAAAACATATGTAAAGCGAACATTTTCGCCGACGATTTGGCTAAGCTTTATTTCGACTTGGCGCACGATTCGGAAACACGGTACTCTCTGAAAATTAAGTGCAACTCGGGCTTTGCGTCCTGCGATCGTGAATATAAGCCTACTAAATATACGAAATATCCCAGCCGGTCGGAAATGATTTGTCAAGACAGGTCCGTCGTGAAAAAATAGAAAACAATTTCTCGAACAAAAACAGAATGCAAAACGGCTAAAGGATTATGTTATCACTATGAATAACTGCTACTGTTTCTTTGTATATGACTGAAACAAACTAAATGGTTTCAGTTGTACTCAACAATAAATCGAAGTAGGAAGTGCCAGTTTGCCAAAGAGAAAAATCTTATCTTTGCTGATCCCACAAATTGTTTATGATTTTACCTGGCTCATAAAAATTATCACTTATATCTTAAAATTATTGTCCATATGTATAGTTAACCGGGATGATATCGATGGGCCCAAATGTACTGTGTGCTGCAAGAAAGTAGCATTGTTGACTAATATACTGGAAAAAAAAATTATATCCCCCAGTCGGTTAAAACACATAAAACAACATACTTTATAATTAAGAAAGTCACATAAACACACAGACAGACATACAGACATAGATCGAAAGAAAGCACAGTTGACAACTAGAAAAATCGATATGTAGACACTCAGAAACATACAAATTGTCAGAGAAAAAGTACAAATAATCTCTTTATTTCTTAACACAAACAATATGAAATAATTAAAACAACATGAACATAAAAGGAAACAGTGTTGTTCGGATACCCGTCGTGATTAAAAAACAGCTAAATATAGTGAGAAAGAGAGCAAATAATATATATAGAAACATCGATTCAAAGGTAAATAAATATAAGTATATAAATAAATTGTCAGATGTTACAAATCATCGTTTTAACAATTATTTTAAACAAATAATATGAAGAAATTAATCTTTTTATTATTACATTACCTAATTATGCGTAGACTTATCATAATTTCACATACGCATTTTATGATGTTACATAAGTCCAATGTAGAATATATACATGTTATCAATCTGAATGACAATTTACATTTAATAATTATTCTTTATGAAAGGTTTTTGGTTGAAATGGAAAAGCTAGTGTCACGAGCGGGATTCGAACCCACGACCTTTGGCCCAATACGCCGCTGCTCTACCACTTGAGCAATCGTGACTTCGATCCACTCGGAAGACAACTTCCCATCTCAACCTACAACCTTTCGAATTTTCCCTCCTTTTTGTCATTTTTCAGGGAAAATTCGAAAAGTTGTAGGTTGAGATGGGAAGTTGGTGTCCGAGTGGATCGAACTCCCGATAGCTCAAGTGGTTTCGTGGGTTCGAATTCCGCTCGTGACACTAGCTTTTTTATTTCAACCAAAACCTTACATAAAAAGATTAATTAATTGAAAGAAATAATTTGGCCAATAGACCACTAAATATAATAGATTTAATATGAAGAAAAATGAAGTGGGCGATTGTGATGAATAATCGTTTTCCTAAAAGTTTTTCATGAAAAAAAATTATACATATAGATATGCAGTATAAAATATATAATTAAAGCATGTTAAACATACACACACATACGACAACATTGTTAATAATATTACAAAAGCTCACCATAGAGCTTCAACATAGTAGAATGTTGATGTTAGGTTGTGGTTTCAAGTAAATCCCTCAAAACCCACTATGATTACTTTATCAACATCAAATCATATCTTCGCTTCCTAGTATCATCATAATCGTCAGATGGAAAAAATCAATTAATAAAGATGATAAAATGTCAAAAAAAGACAAAACCAGGAAGATAAGCGGACCAGAGTTAACGAAGATCTCACCTTACAGGATTCAATGTTTCATAATTCTGCTTCAATCCCCTGTACGTTTTAAAATATTTGGGCCAATCATGGTTCAGTATAACGTATATAAAAAACGTTTAAAAAATCGATTTATCAAATGGGACATATGAGCTTCATCCTCGCCCAGAATATTATAACCCTGACCTTGTTCCTTCAGACTATCACGTCATTGGTCAATTTGAGTCACATTCTTTACAAGGTTTATTTGTTGAAAATACTCAAAATATACTAGTGTGCTTTATCGTCACCTTTGACAGTGATATCGCATAAAACTGTGTTAGACCATTTGTAAACATAAATGTTTATCATCCGATTAAACTGTAAACAATCGCGGCTATAAACTTATTGTCTCCTGTGATATGACGAATATTAGCTGGATTAGTGGGGAAAATAAAAGATACATTTCAAACGATTAAAAGCAAGGCAGGTCGATCAAAAATCATATTCTACATCTAGTTTTTACTTCTAATAAAACACAAATTTGTCAATTTGGGCGTCTTCTACTCTCCTGGTCTGCCAAACTCTCGCCAGTTATGGTACTGCGAACCAGGTTATTAGAAGGACCTGAATGACATATTTAAAAATACTAAAATTGCTGCCTTATTTTGACCCTACACATACAGCTCTTAACTTTCATATAATTAATGTTAACAATCTTTTAGGGCTTCCAGTTATGATATAATGTATACAATAAAAAATGTAATTAACATATGTAAGTGAATGTTGTTCCATTCTTGGTAATAAAGACGATATATCAAAATAGTAAATAATGTTTGACTTGTAAGAGAGAAATTTGTCTGCAATTAATGTATAATTCATAAAAAATAAACATAAAAAAGTCATTACCAATTGAAATTTTTAAAAATCTTGTATAAATATAAGTATAATAAATACATTTAAACATATGAGTCTCCTTGGTCCGTCTTTTGTGGTAAATCTTGTTCGATCATTGCATAATGATATTTTGAAAATGTTGTTTGTCTGAATCACGTCGGTGTGCAGTTTACATAACAAGTGCACAGTAGTGGCTTATTACTGTCTTCCATTAGGATAAATGCACTGAGCCGGTTTAAATTTGAATTTTTATTTAATGTTATAATTTTTTTTAAACAAGGATTTTCAGTGGCTTTTTCGAAACACAACGAGGAAGTCGACAGAAGACGAAGACAGTTGAACCAGCATTCGCTTTAGTCAAGGTAGCCCCTGGAAACAAAATATAAAAAACGTTAAACGGTATTGTTCTTGAGGCATTTTTAGACAAATTGCCGTTTCTACTGACGCCAGAGTAAGTTCGAGTTCTGCGATTTTCGATTCCTGAAGAGTTCGTCTCATGCCACAGTATGAATGAAGGTCTTGAAGGTCTTTTATCTGCTTTTCCATCCTCTGCATGGCGTGCCTCTTCGTTTCAAGAAGTTCCATCAACTCTTGCGTGTTCACTCTTTGCATCTCCTTAAAACCATAGGTTATTTAAATGTATTATTTATTATGTGAATGTATTTGAACAGGACTTTTTAAAATAGATTTCAAATATACCATAGAATGATCTACAAATGTAATTTTTTTTATATACAGGGTTGGGCGTAAAATTGGAGTATGATTCTAGCTCCTAGCAGCACTGAAGACCTACAGCAGAAGTCGAAATGCTTTGGCAATAAATAGTAAATCTCAAGGGGGCGTCGGTGGCCGAAAGGTTTAGGCGTTGACACGGCGCTCATTACCGTAAGGGAATTCGAACCCGATAGACTTACAAATGTTTTTTTTCAAAAACACGGGCACCCCGAGGGTTGATATAACCTCTGCTGTTGCGAACCCTCGTTAAAAAAAAAACCTCAAGGCTGATCTTGACGATTTTATAATTTTGTGAGAACAACATTTTCACACCCAACTCTGGATGTAAAAAGGAACTAAAAACCATGACTGAAAAAACTAAAAGTAAGCCGAAAAGAGACATACAAATGGTTCAAAGATGATTTGAGTTCGATAAAGACAAATTGACAAAACTGCTCATAAACTTTCAGACATAAAATACAGAATATTAGTTATTAAAAGACGATCTTCTACCATTCTTATTGGAGACTTATCATAATTTCACATATGCATTTTATGATGTTACAAAAGTCCAATGTTGAATATATACATGTTATCAATCTGAATGACAATTTACATTTAATAATTATTCTTTATGAAAGGTTTTTGGTTGAGATAAAAAATCCAATGTTACGAGCGGGATTCGAACCCACGACATTCGTCTAAATACGCCGCTGCTCTACCATTTGAGCTATCGTGACTTCGATCCATTTAGGACACCAACTTCCCATCTCAATCCACCTTTCAAATTTTCCCTCCTTTTTTGCCAACCTTACATAAAGATTAATTAATTGAAATAAGTTATTTGACCAATCGGACCACGATCTCTAATGGTTTTAATAATTATAGAAAAAAGAAACCTTTGAAGTTGTAATGAGCAGACTGTTTTCTATATTGGCTTCTTCACGCTTAAACGTTGTCGACTCTCTATCTTCATCCTATTTCGACATTAAAGGAATTTAATATTATTTTCCCCCCAATTCTTCAATGATAGTTAAATTTTACATCGGTTTTTTTGCATACGCCGGCGTTTTTGACATCAGCAAATTCCAAAAGTTCGTCAATCAGTTTTTGCTTTTCTTTCAGTTCCGCTCTTAGCGATGAGATGGTCACGTCCTTCCTCAGCAGGTCTTCTTTTCGTTCATTGTTCACGTTTTCGACATCGGTTTTTATCTGTCATCGCATATTCAATTTAGTCGAAAAGTAAATTACGAACAATTAAAAATAAAAACCTTGTTGCAGATATTTTCTTGGCCATCGACATCGCTGTTCATCAAGATGCGTAACATTTCCGAATCTATGTCACAGCCAACGCAGTTGCACACGTGTCTGATCAGCTCCGCCCTAAAATACAGTATAAAGTTAAAAAAAAGAAGAGAACAACACGAAATAAGTTACAATTTGTTGCTTCTTGCGTGCTCCTTGCTTAACAGCTCAGCGTTTTCTTCGATTTGATCTCCTTTTTCGACCAAAAGGTCTGAAAGTTGCATGATCCTCTGACAACTCTCAGCTCTTTCCTTTTCCTGGGGATGAAATTATTTAAAGATTTAAACGATACTTATTTGTAATTTAGTTTACCGAATTTTCCAATCGGTCTTTAAGGTCGTTATTGAGCTTTCTTTCTTCCTGCAAACAATTTTCAATAGTATTCAGCTTCTCTTCCTTCATGGCCATTTCTTCTGCCATTTTTTGAGTCTGTTTCTTAACTGAAATATAATATTTTTTTAGACATAGATTTTTATTAGATTGTAATGTTGAAAGATACATGTTTCCAACAGAAAAGATTGTTCATCTAATGTCGACTGAAGATTGGCCTTTTCTAATTTCAGCTCTTTCATCTGTGACAGAACTTTGTCGATTTCCTCTGCTTTATGCACCAAACTCTTCTGCAATTGTTCCCTGATGAAAACCCGTTTTAGTGATAGCAAAAATTCTGGGAAAATCGTGGACTTTCGTACATACCTTTTTGAAATTTCGCATTTAATTTTATTCGACAAACTAGTTACTTCGTTGTTTTTCTTTTTCTCGAGTGAAGCCCTTTCCGCGATTTCGTCTTCGAGTTGTTGTTTGAGTTTTGACATTCTGTGAACCGTCAATAAAAGTAAAGTAAATTATAAAAAAATAAACATTTCGCCTATTTCAAACAATTGAAAATGCGTACTGAGCATGAAATCGTGCATGCTTTTCGGATTCTTCAACTTTCGGCTTCTCGGACCCGCTTTCGTAAACCGCGATCTTTTCCTCTAACGCTTTCTATTTGAAAATTTAAATTTTAAGTGCAGTTGGTCCGAAAAATCCCAACTCGATAATTACCACGTCATTTTTCAACACCGTCAGTTTCTCTTTGTGAAGGACCAGCTCTTCGGACTTTTTGTGCATCGACTCTTTGAGCTTCTTGTTCTCGTTTTCAAGTTGTTTCAGTGTTTCCGACGGCACTGGGGGATTGCCTGAAGATACAAAACAGAAAAATAATGATTTTTTAGGTTATTATTTTATCACTAGCATGATGCGAAATTAAGTTTAAGTCCAAAACACCGGACATGATCCAGCCTCAGACGCTAAAAATGAATGGGAATGACAGCATCGGATCGACTGAGAAGCTCCGACGTATCAAGAGGACGGTCGATGGGTGGGCCTCGTAGAATAGGAAATGTTAAGTTGATACATGGAGACTTACTTTTGGGACAAAGTATTGTCCGGCATGTTGAGAAAAGTTACTCGATGGGTCCCACTTGATTCAAGTGTAATTTTTTTGGCCCATATAAGCAGCGTGTAGGAATGCCACCCGAGATAACAATTATTCTTGTGCACAGCAGCGAGTATTTACGTTCCCTGTTCCCATTTTTGGATTAAACAGGCTGTTTTATCTTATAGTTATAGATGTTTCGTTTTGAGTTCCTTTTGGTGTATATTGAGAGTGAATGTATTTATTAGCGCAACTGTCTATTTGGATAGACGTGTAAATGGAGGAATATCCAGTACTCCACTACCGTACTTGAGCGATTGGTATACAAATAGGAAAATGTATATTTAAGAATAAATGAGAGTGTGTCTAGATTTAAAAGCTGAAATGACAAGATAGTGAACCGTCTCCTAAGGACTTTTGAGCTTAACTTCGGTGGCGGGAAAAAGAAGACAGATGTTTTACCTCGGACTGCCAAACCCCGAAGTGAATGATTCTCGCGGCAAGCGGAAACATAATTTCATGCTGATTAGGAATGATTGGTTAGGGACACCAAGTGCATTTGATCTCTACATGCCTCTCGCAGGTATATGGCGGATCGGACAATGCAGTAAGCGTCCCAACATGCGAGGGTGCTAGATCTCTGCATCCCACTAATGGATGAGGAACGGTGAAGTGCCCTCACAGTTACATAACCGCTCTCGCCTCCTGCCTACATGCGGCAGCCACTGTTAAATCCCCCCCCCCAGGGCGGGAGGGGACCGACCTCAAAGAGACATTGAACCTGTTTACCCTAGGAAGAGTAGCAAATACAGTCTAGAGCGGGTGGACCTGCTGGGAAGTAGGTGCAACCTGAAAGGGGGTGGTTGCAAGCTGCCGGAACCATCTGTCTCTATAACAAGGAAGGCTTGAAGCCAACAATGGTCGATAGCCTCTTCCCAGAAAAAATAATGCCGATGATGATGAGCTGAGGTTAAACATGAGTGACCCGGAGTATGGGGCGCAACTTCAAAGAGACATCATATTCACGAGCACATTTCTAACAACTGGGGGGGGGGTCTGGTTTCCTTAGGGGAACATAGTAACCGAAAGGTGGAACTTATCTCACTCTTTTCCGCTTCATTAGCCCTGAATCGTACTCTCAACCCTTAGTTACAAGTGGGGTGTTTTCGTATACTTGCGAAAGAATTCGTCAGTGAACTGAATGTGTGAAATGAAGGGGGATGGAGCATGATCGACGGGCGAAGTGTCGTTCAAGTGCTTCTATTTATCGGAAAATTTATCGAACCTTGGGGTGGTTAGTATTCCACCTAAATCGAAGAGCTCCTTCACTCGGGGGTGATGGAATGGTCAATTGCATTCTGGGGGTACGCCGAGAGGTCCGGTGAGAATTTGCTTCAGACCTTCGAGCTTCTCGCCGTTGGAAGGGGCAAGTGGGGAAGAATCTAGTCCTGATCTTTAGGCATTTTTTCATGTAAACTTTGCGTTGCCTCCCAACTTGGTATAAAGTACAAATGGTTACACGCCAGGTGCTGCCGAAAAAGATCCTCATTGTTTTATTAAGTCGATGCGACCCCAACAGGAAATTAAAAGCTCATGATGTTTATGATCATTGAACAAGATCTAAAGGAAGGAGCAAAGAAAGAATCCACTTGTATTGATTACTTTTATCGTTCCAGTAAACCATGCATCACTTGTATTACCTTACCATGTTTTTTATTACTTACAAACAACATTAGGCGGTAGCTCTGGGACTGTGAACCCTTCAGGACCGTCGCCCGACGAGGCGATCATCTGTCCTTGGATTATCCTCAAATTCTCCCTTGCCGTTTTGATTCGGGCCTGGAAAACAGTCATAATTAGTCGTACTTGGGACAATCTCGCCGAACTGAATCGCATGCCTGGTAAGCCTCGAAATCTGCCAGATGAGTGTTGTACCGTTTGAGCTGGGTCCTGTACCTCGTCATCAGTGCCGAAAGCTTTCCCGGCGGAAGAGGAGGCTGGGATTTCTTGTACGTTCTACCGTCTGAGCATGTTTTGAGGGATTTGACCGAACTGCTCATCAGGTTGTTTTCCATTTCTTCTTCGGCGGCCTCGTCTTCTTCCAGGCACTCGGCTTCTTCGTTCCTGAGTTCTTGGGCTTTCGAGTCCAACTGCGCGGGGTTTTCTTCTTTTCCAAACTGTTCCACTGTTTCTTCGTTTGAATCTTCGAAGGCGTTTTCCTTGTCTTTACGTGTCGGGGAGGCGTTTTGCTTCCTCTCCGCCTTCTCGTCTTCTCCTTTTCCTTGTTTCAGTTTCGGAGACAATTCATGCCTCTTGTTCCTCACAGCATCTATTCTTTCTTTTAGAGACAGCAAGGTTGCGTTCTGTACCAGGGATCTGTTTGCATTTTCAGAACAACCGGCTGGACCAGTGGCATAAAAGAAATGCATTATTCTAAGCAACTTTAAATAACAAAATATGCAAGAAACATTGTTTAAAAATCATATATGAACAAAATCGATTATTAGAATATTTCTTAAACTTCTAGGAATTTCTTTAACTTTGTCCGTGAAGGGCGAAGCATACCAGCCCCCCCCGAATGGATTTATCTACATCTACCTCATTCATACGTTATACACAATATAACACAACAACATGAAGATAGACGAATCGAAAAAATATTAATATAAAAAAGTCCCTGCAATATGTTATATTTATATAATGATATAACAACAATAAAATTAACATAAGCTCATCAATTTCACTTTTCAATTAAAACTAATAATACGAATGGATTAAGTTAATCCTGAAAGAGATGAAAAATACTAATAACCAGTGAAGGAAAAAACCCTGAAAGGGACCGAAAAATAATTAAAATATTTATTCTCATATTTAGAAATGTAAGTTCTATTGCTTCCACGCTCAAAATTTTCACTACTTTGTGTTTTTATCTGTCAAAATTTCTATGATTTTCTCCTGTACTCACTCTCTTTCTCCGCCCCCCTCTCTCACTCCCTCCCACCGTTTTTCACAATTTACTTTGTTTCTCTTTGGCTGTATAAATTTCTGTCTTTCTGTTACATCTTTTTATCTGTTTTCCCAACCCTTTTACATTTTCTCTCAATCTGACTATTCGGACTTTCGGTACAGCTCGTCACCATGTGTTAAAAGAAAAGTTGTATGCAAAAAACTTACTAGGCTTAGGGGCCACTGGCTTCATTCTGGTAGGCGATTCCGCTTTAACGACTGGTATCTAAGATTGAAAATATTTACACTTATTAAAAATAAATAATTAAACTTTATTAAAACTCTTATTTATCCTTATTTTAATGGTCGCAGAAAGGTAAACAGTAAGAGAACATTCCACGGAGGGTTAACGCTTTTGCACTATAATCTAATTGTTTAATAGTGAAATTAAAACTATTTATTTTCACCATTTTGACTAATTAGGATGATAATAACAGAATTATGAGTTTTCGTCGTTGATTTTTATAGATTTTATAATTATAAGTATATTTTTTACAATATTTCAGCTGACTTACGCGGTTTGATCGAACGACTTTCTTGTATGTTATCGACGACTGTATTCCCGAGCCGGATTGTTCGGTTTTCTCGACCATCTGAAACGTTTTTTTAATTTATGTAAATATATATTCGTTTTGTTTTAATTTTCTGATTTTTAACTGAGCTACCTTTATAATCCCTTCATTTCTTTTGGGCCTCGAAGAAGCCTTTTCCATGGTTTCACTCTTCTCAGCCTCAACTTCGAGCTGGCCCTGCCGACATTTGACAAATTAATATGCTTTACTTTGAATAAAGTCGTATTTTTTGTCATTCACCTGAGGCTGTTCTTGGGTATATTCAGCTGCGTATTTATCGAGGTTCGACGTGAAAAACTAAGGCAGAAACATTTTAATGAAAGATATCCGAGACAACCTCCACCATCCCAACATAAAAATAAAAAATAGACTAAACTGTGCATGGTTCTTGCACTACGTCTTCTTCAGCGTTCGCCTGTTGGCCTTCGGAGGGCGAACTCTCCGGAATAGAATCCTTAACGGGCAACTCCGTATTTTCTTCACTCGGTTTGTCTTTCTTAGCCTCGATTAGAGGGATTACTTTCTCTCTCTGAGATAACTGCAAAACCAGCGATTATTCGTGAAAACCAACAACCGGCTTTGAAATAATTCCTCACCTCTGTTCGGTCTGTACTCTGTGTGTTTAATAATGTGTGAACATTGTCCTCCCCCGCGACCAGACCTTTCTGCAAACGAATGAGTTCTAGAATGATTAAGTTGAACCCGGGGACTAGAAATGATAAAAAAGACAACCGGCCAACCAAGAACACCTTATAATTATTAAAAGAATAAAGTAAAAAAGTAAAGAAATTCCTGTATAGAATTTTTCGAATTTCTATTGACGACTGTTTTTGTATACTTAATTGTTTAATATGTATAAAAAAGGCTAAAGAACGTCGAGTCTATACGTTTCTTCCTGTTGAAACTCACGAAGAAAGACCCATGGATGTCAAACTTTGGCGCCATTTTAGGAAACAAGCTAACATGAAATCAATACCAAGAAAAAACTCCACACCAACCCAAATTCACCCCGGGAAGGTACATAAGATTTAAGGAAAAACCAAAAATTACCTCCTAGATCAAATCCACAGACCCATGCAAGGACAGGCTCCTATAAGCTACCGCTACGACTCCAAACAAATAAAACTTAGAGAAGAACTTAAAAAATGTGTTTGCTAATTAATGCCCTTGGGCGTCATGGAAAATGAAAGTACCATAAAGATTAGCAAAAGAACCATCAACGCTGACTTTGTAATACATGAACGGTTAAAATAAGAGGACACGGGAGCCTGGAAGAAAATGGAGAATTTAAAATTGACTAAAGGTATGTTAAGTTAAACAGTAAAACAGTTAAGTTTTGGCTAAGAAGGTTAAAAGGCTTGATATGGAACGTAAGAAGAGACATGAGTTGAGATCACCGACAGCATAGTGACTCGCTGGAGTGCACAGAGAGTAATAGAAAAAGACCCGACTATGTTTGGGTTCCATGACACTACAGTAAAAAGCTAATGTTCTTCTCTTGATGGAACAACACCCCCAGGGTGGACACAGGAGGAAAACTATCTCGTCAAGAAAGACTCGCCTAAACAAACAGCAGGTCTGCAAGCAAGGTGGAAAAAACTATTTGAGAACAGGACATTGCCGACTTAATGGACATTAAAATATTGAGGGTAGCTATGCCATGAGAGAAGAGGAAACCGCAGTATGCTAGTGTGGAGTTATAACTAGGTTTCTTTACTCATAGCCAAAGAAACAAACTCAATCCATCAAAAAGTCTGAGAAGTCGCTATGTAATAAGGCTTTGGAGAATAGAATGCATTTAGTGGTCTATATGACCTATATTAGAAGAAGATAATTGTTCTACCTCAACGACCAATTTAACAACATTGGAAAGACACGGGGAATCTTTTAATTTAAAATAACTTAACAGCCTTACTTCTTATCCCTATTTGACTAAAATCTGACAGATTCAGCAGATCGGATTTATTCCCGAGTGCTTTGTTTCAGCTTTAGTTCCATTTCTTTTCAGATGTCATCGGTCTCGAGTCGGCTTAGCCGTTTTAGCATAGAGCGAACACTGTGTGCAAGTCCCAAGAAGATTTTTCATTCCCCACCCGGTTACTTAACATTAATTTTCACGTTAAAGACAGCAACTCGCATAATATTTGAACCAAACAGTAACGAAAATTAACGATCACTAGTAAATATTTACCTATTTTGATAAGGTAACATCCAACAAACGTTAATAACAAAATCATATGATTTATGCCAGAAAATAGATCTGGCGGGTCTTGTTGTTTATAAATCGCGTCGGTTGTAATATTTAAATTGAACTGGTCTGATAGAAAGAGAATCTGATGTATTTAGCGGTACTTACTTTGCGTTCTAAAGTGTCCGTTTCGTTTGACTCCATTAAACTCTCTTTGCAAGTTTCTTCCGCTGGCTGGAACCAACCGTTTTATGGTTTAACAACAATCGTTCAAAATCCTCAACAATTATTTTTTTCATAAAACACATAAGTGGGCCAGAAATGTGTAAGAGTTTATATATTTTACCAATCAGGTTACAATAAAACCTTAAGGTTCGGTCATCATCGACTGGATGGAGGTATGTGAAAAGTTTAAATTTGACCGAGCCTTCTAAGGCAACATTGTTCTTTGAGACAACCACAATCGTTTAATGTCGTGCATTTGCTACTCTTGGTACAGTGGATAAGATTATAAACAACTGCAAGATACCCAACCGTGATAAGATTTGTTTCTGCGAAGAAGATAATTTTTGTTCATAGCTTACATCATTACAACTGTAAGGCTCGGAAAAACTGAAAATGATAGATTAAAGAGAACAAACTGGCCTACAATCATGTAAAGCACACCCAAGAAAATGCAGAATTCACTAATTTCGTGGTCCGCTTGAAAAACGGCAAAAAGGAGGGAAAACTCAAAAGGTGGGGTTGAGATAGGAAGTTGATGTCCGAGTGGATCGAGGTCACGATAGCTCAAGTGGTCGAGCAGCGGCGTATCTAGCCGAAGATCGTGGGTTCGAATCCCGCTCGTGCCACTGACTTTTTTTACTCAACTAAAAACCTTAATTAAATATGCTGAATGTGGCACTGAACAAATGGACGTTGGATATTCGAATCTCACACTTGATCTATGGATCTAAATCAATCGTATTATTTTAAACCATTGCAAAAGGAATCACTCAGAAGACTAGAATTAAGGATAATCACTATCTTCATTACCATTATAGAATAAAATAACACATAAAAACAATGGGTAAAGCTGATACAAGCTTGGCGACTAGGTCAATAAGATGCTGTCACCGGTACTTGATAGGACAATACTAGAATTGATAGGAAAGTACAAATATATTCATGAAAAATAGTGCAAGTTTTTGGTATGAACCCTGATGTATTGAGATATTTCATCATATGGTATGAAATGTGATGAACACGCTATTTAGTCTGACTATCCCCGCAGTGTTGGTGAGAGGCGATTCTACATTCGCCATCTTCAGTGTGATTTGTTTAAAGTCTCTTTTAGGGGTGTGTTCATGTGTCGGCGTTATCTCTATCCATGCTTTGTACAATACAATCCTGCATGAATAAGACCAAAATGGTCAGTAGCGACCAAATTACAACTCTGGTATAATTAGGTCTTTTTTTATACGTCTTACATTATAATTAGTGGTCATGTATCAAGGCTCACCATATTTATGCGAATGCGGCAAGCCACAATGCCAGAGTGAAATTTCTGTGTATTAACTGATTGATTGTTAATATTGATATCATTACACATTATAACTATTATATTTAGTGGTCAGATTGACCAAATTACTTCTTTCAATTAATTGTTCTTTGTTTGTAAGGTCTTGATTGAAATGAAAAAGCCAGTGTCACGAGCGGGATTCGAACCCACGACCTTCGGCTCAATACACCGCCGCTCTAATCACTTAAGCTATCGTGACTTCGATCCACTCGGACACCGACTCTCCATCTCAAGCCACAACCTTAGAATTTTCCCTCCTTTTTGCCATTTTTCAAATATCGTGTAATCAGGGTTCGATTCTCGGCGACGATTCTAGGCCACGGAGAGCTGTTAGTGAAGTTATACTTCGTTTTACTTTCTAAATCCATTATATTTAGTGGTTTGAAAAATGGCAAAAAGGAGGGACAATTTGAAACGTAGGTTGAGATAGGGAGTTGGTGACCGAGTGGATCGAAGTCAAGATAGCTTAAGTGGTTAGAACAGCGGCGTATTGAGCCGACGGTCGTGGGTTCTAATCCCGCTCATGGCACTGGCTTTTTCATTTCAACCAAGACCTTAAATACAAAGAATAATGACATATTAGGTTGACGAAATCAAATTAGTTCTTATGAATTTTTTTATACATAAAATCATTCACAGTATTTGTCGTCTGAAAATTGAAAATGATTTTATAAAGGGGTACTACATACATTTTATGAAATTCGTTGTTTACGAAAACATAATTTTCAGAACAAAACTCGAGTGAAATCACAGGGAGAAGAGGCGGACCAAAATATATTCCTAAAAAAGGGTATTTGTTCAGTTTTAAGTCTAACCAATTTTTCAATTTTTTTTGATATTCGAGTTGCTAAAAGAAATTTTAAGCTGGGATTCACGTCGACCACCACTAAAAATAAAAAAAATTAAGTATTTAATATTTAATAAGTTATCAATAAAATAAAATTAAAGCAATTCCTTTAAAACAGGAAGGATTAACATTAAACTTAACGTCAGAACTACTCAGTAGCCAACAATTATGAATTAAAATTCCATGGGCTAAGCTGGGATTCGAACTCAGAACCACCAGCTTGTTAAAGTCGTTCGCTCTAACCACTCAGCCACCGCATCCCTTCTTCTATTCATTTCTTTTTCTTATATATTTTTTTAAATATTAACGACAAAAAGGTCATTTATAAACAATATATGATATAAACTTCATATGTTAATAGAATGACATTGATTATATAATTATACCATCTTCCAACTCTGAAGATAATTTGGTGGACGTACAATTGGAAACGTCCGTCATTTTATGCAAAACGCATCACCATGAAGTTATGCCAAGCTTGAAGTGACACTACGACGCAACGACCAATCATAAAATAAATACTCTCGGACAGGTTTCCTTTTCTTTTTTGATTAAAGGTTTAAACGCAACCCAATAATGTTTTGTGCCACATGAAGTCATCGTTTATGTAAAGGATATGAAAAACGGACCTCAACAAAACGTTCGAAATCTAAAAAGGATCGCCATTGTCTAGAAGACGCCAGGCGTGATAAAAGGAGAACGTGTTGACAGAAGAGACTGTTCCGAAACTCGCGTTTTCGAAATCAGTGGGGAAAAGGCGTTTTGTCTATTTTCCTCCGTATTATGACAACAGATCTCAATTAACAAAATACGCCATTAAAGAACTATTTCTTAAAGACTTAAAAAATCAATATTAAAAAACGGGATGCACCGGATTTTTAAATTTTAATTGATTTTGCAATTTCACGCACATTGAAGCCATAAACAAAGACTTACGGACCAATATATTTTATTGGCTAAAGCCACGTATAGATTGTAATTGAACTTTGACTATAGATAAAGATCAAAAATAACAATAACATATGCAATCAAAATTGGTAATCGGTTAGCGAGATATTGTAGGGAGACGATTAAAAAGTCAAATTCGACCTTCACAAACCGACAACCTGTTTCCGCAAAATTTGAACAAAAGGTCGGGCTTTAATGGCTGTAAATGTATTGCAAATTTAATTAAATTCGATATAGCAGAATAGAAGTAAAAGAATATTTGTTATAAAAGAGCCTTGAACATAAAGATAGTTTTGTACAAATCCCAATAGATTCATGGCCTTTAAGAAATTTTTGAGGACATAGCAAAGCTGTCGAAGTAAATATTTATGAGCATTGCAATTGAATTGTTACTCTTTAGACGAGATATTAAAGACATCGTGTGTATATCAGTGTTTTAAAGAAACAAGTTTGTAAAATAAAATATAGACACAATTAAATTCACTAATTTCCAATGACCAATTAATGCATTACAATTAATTAAGGTTTTTGAAAAATGGCAAAAAGGAGGGAAAACTCATAAGGTGGGGTTGAGATAGGAAATTGATGTCCGAGTGGATCGAGGTCACGATAGCTCAAGTGGTAGAGCAGCGGCGTATCTAGCCGAAGATCGTGGGTTCGAATCCCGCTCGTGCCATTGACTTTTTTCATCTCAACTAAAAACTTAATTAATTATAGACACGATGTTTAAAAAATGTCTGTTGGAATAAAATAAAAATAATAATTATAATAATACACAAATTTAATTAGTGATTTAACTTCACTCACCTCGTATTCATAAACGGAAGTAGGAGATTGGATGACTGGCGAGAATAGATCGCCGCAGCTATCTGCACTCTGATTTTAAAAATAATTAAAAATTGTTTTAAATGTTACATAAAACAAACAATTTTCGATTAAAAACAAGGTAAACGTTGGGATCAAAGAAAAAGCTAAATTAAAAATAATCATGATTCTAAATTTATTATAGTTTTGTCTATTATAGAATTGTCGAAAATACTTACATTTTTTTGAGGTTTCACATCAGAGAAAGTTTTGTACATCTTCATTTCGCTGGGGGTCATTGGGCCAGCCTTACAAAAGATAAAGGAAGTAGTGATATTAGGAGATTTATGGGTTAAAAGGCGGTTGTTCATAATAAAACAAAAACAAAACAAAAACCATTAAATTCGTTTAAAAGTACACTTCGATAGTAATTCAAATTTAAAGTTGGCCTGCAATGAGGAAACATTGATAGGAAAACGCTGAGATAGATAGATAGAGAGAGAGACATACACACATTGAAAGAAAGACAGAGAGTGAGAGAGAAGGAGAGGGTGAGGGAGAGGGAGAGAGAGGGGGAGAGAGAGAGAGAGAAAGACACACACACAAAAAGAAAGACAGAAAGTGGGAGAGAGAGGGTGAAGAAGAGGAAGAGAGGGGAAAGAGGGAGAGGGAGAGAGGGGAGAGAGAGAGAGAGAGAGAGAGAGAGAGAGAGAGAGAGAGAGAGAGAGAGAGAGAGAGAGAGAGTGAAAGAGTGAGAGAGAGTGGGAGAGAGGGGGAGATAGAGATAGAGATAGATAGATAGATAGATAGATAGAGAGGGAGAGGGTGAGGGAGAGGGAGAGAGAGGGGAAGAGAGAGAAAGACGCACACACAAAAAGAAAGACAGAAAGTGAGAGAGAGGAAGAGGAAGAGGGAGAGGGAGAGGGTGAGGGAGAGGGAGAGACAGAGATAGACAGACAGAGAGAGAAAGAGACAGAGTGACAGAGACAGGCAGACAGACTAGGGGGACTTATAGCCATGGATCTGAATAAAAAAGATATCAACAACCTTCAAAGAGCTCAAAACGCAAGCATATGTAATATAGATAGAGTAAAAAAGTAAACATATAACTCCATATTACACATAAGAAATTAAAACTTTTGAAAATCAAAGACGGAGAAGGTTAAAATTGACTATGACTACAATAAAAATTTTGAAAACAAAATTACCCAACTATGTGTACAAGGAATTTCAATTCTTTCAAATGTTTACGACCACAATATTACAGACGCATATAACAGATTAAGGGCGCCAAAACATAAAACATCAATAATCAACAAATATTTATACTTGAAGCAACACGCAATTTCAACAATTTGAATGCAGATTTAAAAATAGAACAAGAAAACTCAAAAACAGAAGAAGAAAAACAGAAGAAAAATTATTGACTTGTTAAATAGCTTCCTATTGAATCTCTAACACTGTGTAGTATAAAGACTCGTTTAATGCACTTTAAATGTACTAATTATTTAATTAACTATTTATATACTCTCATTGTATTATCTTTTTTTGCATTAAACTGCTGCGATTGAAACACTTTAATATCGCATAATTTTGTTACTTAGTAAATTGTAAATTTTTAAAATGTAAGTAACATTTTGACAAAAATGGATAATATATGATTTTGTATAAGATAAATGTGTAAATAATGAAACAAATATAAAAAATTTGATGTTGGTTAGTTATACCGGTATAATATGTAAATTGACGTAATTAAATATATTTAAATATTTAATTATATAATTATGTTAAATATTTGTTTATATAATTAAATATAAAACATGCATAAAACAAAAAAAATACAAAGTGTAATGTGACTTCATAAAACAACATGTACATAATGTTGTAAGAACGGACAAAAATGTCCTATAAATGTACACATACTATATATAAATAAAAGAAGCCAAGTCTCTCTCTCTCCCTCCCTAAGTATAGGCTGTGATGGTAACTAAGTAAATATTAAATAAGGTAAATGCTAATATGTAGTATTTATTTAAAAAAAAATTAAAAATAGGTCTCATATATTTAGGAAAAGATAAAAAAAAGAAAGAAAGAGAGAGAGAGAGAGAGAGAGAGAGAGAGAGAGAGAGAGAGAGAGAGAGAGAGAGAGAGAAAGAGATTTTGATTGACCGAGATGATTTTTTAGCCACTCAAAATAGGTCTCGTATATTTTGAAAGAGAAAAATAGAAATTCATTAAAGAAGATTTTATTAGGTTTCATGGCCCGCTTGACCTAATAAATTCTTTTCAATCAATTAAGGTTTTGGTTGAGATCAAAAAGTCAGTGTCACAAGCGGGATTCGAACCCACGACCGTCGGGTAAATACGCCGCTGCTTGACCACTTGAGCTATCGTGACTTCGATCCTTTCGGACACTAACTGCCCATCTCAACCTACCTTTCGAATTTTCCCTCCTTTTTGCCATTTTTCAAAATTCGAAAGGTTGGGTTGAGATGGTGCTGGATGACCCAATAACGATGGAAAAACTATTGGGAAACATTTGTTCATCTTGACCAAAAAAGTGCCATAGAAAAATTAAAACTTTTCTTTATGACAGGTGATCGGTCAGATCCCAATATCTACAGAGGTATTGTCAATAATAAACCAAATTTTTTACGCAATTTCTTTGCAATCGAAACACTGAATAACACAGGACTTCTTCAAATTCTTGCCGTAAAGGGAAAAGCTGTGTTAATGCAATTTTCACCTTGTGCTCTGTGGTCAACATCAAATTAAAAACAGAGAAAAGTAAATGTTTTATGATCTACGTGTATTTTGCCAAAGCATTTGATTAATTGTCACACCATAAACTTTTTAAAAACTGTATGGCATGGGTGTGAATCCTAAACTTATTGGAATTATCAAAGAGCTTTATGAAAAAGCAAGAATAATTTTATATTGGGATGATGATTACTCAAATGAAATTAAAATCAGAAAACGAGTCCTGCCAGGCGAAAATGTCTCCCCAATTCTTTTCTGTTTGTTTATCGCAGACAAATGTCTTTCTTCCGCTCTCGGGGTACTCAAAAGATGTACATGAATTAAATAAAAGACCTTATAAAGATACTATACGCAGATAACGTGACTATAATTACGTATCCATGTGATACTCAATTTAAATGAAAATTACTAAATGAGTACAGCAAAATAAACGACCGTAAACTGCATACCCTTAAACCAATAGTCGTGACTTTTAAAAAATGAATGTGGTAGCTTAAATCAGTCAAGAATCTTACTTATGAAGGTACATCCTTAGCTGTCTCAACTTTGGTGTCTCCTTTTTTCCTCTGGCAAGTTCAGTATGGGCTCTCTCAACCAAAACCTTAATTAATTTAAACTTTACTTTGAATGATTTTTATTTGAACTGTTATTGAGTTTAAGATTTTTGAAGCTTGCTTTTATTTTAAATGTAGTGCTAAGTGTGCTAAGTTCTGTGTTTTGGTTATTAAGTAATTAACTGATCTGGTATTATTGGAGAGAGAAAGAGAGAGAGAAAGAGAGAGAGAGAGAGAGAGAGAGAGAGAAAGAGAGAGAGAGAGAGAGAGTGAGAGAGAGAGAGAGAAAGAGTGAGGGAGAGAGGGGGGAGATAGAGATAGATAGATAGAGAGGGAGAGGGAGAAAGAGGGGAGAGANGATAATGATGGATAAAAGTTGAAAGGAAAAATCACAAACGACTGCATTCAGTAAAAGGTTGCGCGTGCTCAAATATGTCGTAATGACTTGAGTGAATGTGCGCAAACTTTCCTTGCTCATCACCAGTCATAAAACCCAGGTTTTATTTAATATAGTTTCGATTTCGTTTTTTACCCGCTTGAAGTTGTTTACTCTTAAGAATCTCCGGCATGTGGAGATTCGTTGACTTTCTCGTGATAACATCAATTTGCGTCAAGGTGAATATATCTAAAAGGGTACAATTTCCAGGGAGAAATTTCGCGGATTCGCCAGTTGCTGTCGGTGCGTGACAAAGCGTGTCCTTTAACGAGTCAGGAAGCGCAGTCAGACGTCCTACCACTGCGTCAAGATATAAAAACTGTCGTCCTCCAACTGAGACGCAACTCAGTTCCAATGTAATCATCAGATAGGCTTCGGAAATGTCAACTTTCGCTCAATATCTAAGACGAATGAAAACAGGTTGTCGGCGGATCTGTCACAAGAATGCCAGAAGGGACAGAACATCACATCTGGAGGCATTTCCGTGCAAGGTCGAAGAAGACGAACATATCGAGAAAACTTATAAATAATAATAACCCAAACAAAATTTAGAAGAATATAGTAGAATATTAAAAAAAAATTAGACAACAGTTTCATTGATAATTTGAAAACACAAGGATTAAAAAATTGCACCGGTCTGGATCTACCTTCTACCTTTCTTCGCACACCCATTTCTCATCTCTCATCCATCTGTTTTATATGATTAATTTTGCACATTTGTATAACAAATGTACAATAAATCTCTTACCACCGTGTTTACAAGGTCGTTGCACAATTCTTGTACTTCATTGAGAGCTCTAAAATCGTCAAACTTTTGTTCCATAACTTCATTGACCACTGGTTCCTGATAAGCAGTGATTAATAAAAAAGTTGATGGTCCTGTTTAAATACCTTACTGAATGTATTACCGGCATTTCTGTCTTTTCCAAAAGTGTCTCGGTGGCCGGTGTTTCTGGGTGCTCAGCCTGCAAAAAAAAAAATATATTTAAATCTTAAACGGTTCACAACCATTGTTAACTTCCAATTCATCCAATCCAAAAAGGTGGCATATAAGCAAGCATGTCAAGTAAAACTCCTATAGCTTTGCGATTTTTGTATAATGCAATGTAACTGGACAATAAAGCAAGTATTCTATATTTAAAAAAATTAAAATTAATAGAACAATAATTTGTTTTTATATTTAATTTTTATTTTTAATTGAAATATTTTTAAAATAAATATTTATTTTAAATTATAAATAAATGATTTAGAAGTTAAAATGGGTTAATTTGAAAATAAAACAAAATGTTATTTTGAAGTTAAAAATCGTTAATTTGAAATTAAAAATGATTAATTTGAAAAAAGTCTAATATAAAGTTTAAAATGATTAATTTGAAATTAAAAAAAGTTTAATTTGAAGTCAAAAAGGGTTAATTTGAAATTAAAAATGATTAATTTGAAATAAAAAAGGCTAAATTGAAGTTAAAAAGAGTTAATTTGAAGTCAAAAAGGGTTAATTTGAAATTAAAAAAAGGTTAATTTAAAGTCAAAAAGGGTTAATTTGAAATTAAAAATGATTAATTTGAAATAAAAAAAGGCTAATTTGAAGTCAAAAAGGGTTAATCTGAAATGTGTGGTGATTAGTGACCGTTAATCGATATTTATTTAGAAATCGTGAGATGCGGTCTGGTGTGATGTAGGTTTCAGAAAAACATTTTCTTTATCGTGCCAACGTTTCCATCTTTATATATTTTATATATTCAATCAAAGTATTGCCTTTCACCTCAAAGAAGCCGACGTCTTATACTTTGTCTTTTCTATACCGACATCCTTCCCCACCCCTTCAAAATCCAACGTATATAAACACAAAATAGCAAAATCTCACTGGCACTCTTGACACGACACGCAAGAATGACACAATTACACAGAAGACAAACACTTTGAATGAGTAGAAATACTTTGATTGAGTATATAAAATATATTTTGCATTGTATAAATTCACTTTTCCACATCCAAAATGTAATTGTAATATGTAAACAATGTTTGTAAATCCCATGCCCTGAAGATGATTTCAATAAAGATCGAAACGTTGGCACGATAAAGAAAATGTTTTTCTAAAACCTACATCACACCAGACCGCATCTCACGATTTCTAAATAAATTTTAATCGGCAATTAAAAATGATTAATTTGAAATAAAAAAGGCTAATTTGAAGTTAAAAAGAGTTAATTTGAAAGTAAAAATGATTAATTTGAAAACAGGCTAATTTAAAGTTTTAAATGATTAATTTGAAATTAAAAAAAGGTTAATTTGAAGTCAAAAAGGGTTAATTTGAAATAAAAAAGGCTAATTTGAAGTTAAAAAGGGTTAATCTGAAATTAAAAATGATTAATTTGAAATAAAAAAGGCTAAATTGAAATTAAAAAGAGTTAATTTAAAGTTAAAATAGATTAATTTGAAATTAAAAATGGTTAATTTGAAGTCAAAAAGGGTTAATTTGAAATAAAAAATGATTAATTTCAAATAAAAAAGGCTAATTTGAAGTTAAAAAGAGTTAATTTGAAATTAAAAATGATTAATTTGAAATAAAAAAGTCTAATTTAAGGTTAAAAAGGATTAATTTGATATTAAAAAAGGCTTATTTGAAGTTTAAAAAGGTGATTTGAAGTAGAAAAGGTTAGTTTTATATTAAAAAGGGTTAAAATTTGACGGAAAAAAGTTATATAAAAATTGTGATTGATATTTTTTGTATGTAGTCCTTGAGATTAATAAATTACAGAAATAAAAAGTTTATGGAGAATCTTTTAAATCAAAGATTCGTAGCTTGATCGTCTGGGATCACTGGTCTATTTATTCTCTCTTATTTGGGGGAAACAATCAAGCAACAGATCCGACACTTCGCAGACTTCAAAAAAACATCCAACAATGTAAAAATATGTAATAATTTGTTAAATTGCCTGTTCTTTTTCTAGCGATGGTCTTTCAGGCACAGTTTTCTCTAAAACGTCAGGTTCGGGCTAGAAAATATGTTAGTAATTAATGAGCATGATGAAAAATTTGATCTTCTTTGTGTCTTACAACGCTAGTTTCCATGTCCTGTTCTTCCTTTTCAACAGTCTTGTCCATTTCTGTATATTCCTATCGGAAAATGGTACTATACTATTATTAATTGTAAAATAATACGGATTTTACCTCGTCCCTTACCAGATTTTCTTTAGCCAAAGAGTTGTCGGCGATTATCGACGTCTGGCTCTTTTTCGCCGCCTAGGAAGAATCACAGACCAGTACTGGGAAAAGTATGAAAAGCTTTTATGATAAAAGAAAATAAAACACTTACTATTTTCGCCATTATGTTATTCGTTATGGTGTTTGCCATTTCATTCGGGTCCACTTTCAAATTCAAATTTTTCTCGAGAACGTGTGGCATTTCCTGGCGAAAGAACAAAAACAAAATAGCTTAATTTAAAAATAAACTGTAAATATTCATTTTGACAATACAATAAAAAGAATTAAGAAACAAGCCTGCAGGATTTATTCAGAACCTTACCAATTTACTGACTATCTCTCTTATTTCACAGATCTTTTCATTTTCTGAAATCGCCAAACCCTTCTCATCAAAGACGGTTGTTAAAGAAAGCTGAAATGTTTGTTATCAGAGTATAAAAAACAAAACAAGAGATCAAGCATAGAGGTACAGACATTGCACCCGAGACTAAATCCTTCTTTTTCCATTTCCAGTTGGAACTGGGAAGATTTGCTGTCTGTCTGTTTATCATCCATCAAATCGCTCTGTTCCTGCAAAAAATCACACAAAAAAAATATTAATTTAATTCTGTAATTAAACATGCGATTGAATAAGTTTTTGCTGAATAGAAGCAAAGACTTACAAGGTTTGTATCTTTTTGATTTGAGCAATTTGTTTCTTTCGACTCTAGCTCAGTTTCTTCCTGTCCACGCTTGAAAAGTGAAACATTTGTAACTTTTTGTTAAGAATATTTTTAAAATGATACTAAAGAAAATCAAAATTAAGCTGTGAGATTTTCTATTAGTGGTTCACACCTCGCAGTTGAACCTGTAATTTGGTCCTTACTGACCAACCTGGTCTGCCTATCCTTGCAATGTCGGCCTGCCAGACATTTATGTGTGTCTGTGTGAACATGGCGAAGTCTGACAGAGCAAAAAAGGGAAGATAGGCAGACGAAGATACGATCAGGAAAGACCGAATTACATAATAAAAAAATAATTACAGTACAAGTAAAACTTTAAGTAAAGAATACAAATTAAAAATGACATCCATTATATTTAGTCTATTGACCAAATTACTTCTTTCAATTAATTAATCTTTTTATGTAAGGTTTTTGGTCGAAAGCTAGTGCCACGAGCGGGATTCGAACCCACGACCTTCGGCTAAATACACCGCTGTTTTACCACTGTTCGAGTGGATCGAAATCACGATAGCTTAAGTGGTAGAGCAGCGGCGTATTTAGTCGAAAGTCGTGTGTTCGAATCCCGCTCGTGGCACTAACTTTTTCATTTCAACCAAAAACCTTACATAAAAAGATTAATTAAAAATTACATTTAAATCGGACCCAGCTGACAGATCCACACTGTTGATGCCTACCTCCTGGAAACCAACGCAAGAACGTATTTGAATTACTTATTTACTTATTTATTATTTACTTTCATTAATCTGTTGTTGCACTGAATAATAGGTTAGGTTAAAAATTGTGAAAATCGGCTTAAGTACATGGAAAAATAACAACACCGATTTAAATAAGATAATATTGGTAAAATCAGAAACGATTCGACACTAGATTTTGGACGAAAACGCGATTTCCCGCAAGCCACAATTTTGGACAATCCGCTTTTCATGACCTTTATAAAATATAAAATAATTAATACCGTTTCTATTTTATGGTCGTCTAAAACTGTATCAATTCCAGGCAAATTTTCCGTAGGAGCTTCTTTCTGAAATGATATTTTGTTCATCGAACCGTCAGAACACCGAGTTTCTGCCAATTACACATATTTACCGACCAATTTTATTGTCACTTCTTCGACTTTGAAATCGTCGGCTAGATGGAGTTCTTTTTTAATGCCCTCGTCTTCCTGTGAATTCGGCCACATTTGAATATAATAATATAATATAGTTAATAATTGAACTAATAATAATTATTATTTGCAGTCGTATCTTATGCGGACTTCACGATCTGCCCTATTTGTCGGATGACAGACCAGGATGATCGGATAAGACCCCCTCCTTCCAAAATACATAACCTCTCTTTTTTGAATTACCTGTCGATAAATAAACTTTACCTGAACAGTTAGAGGATCGTTGTTTACGTTTTCCTCATGTTTGATGTTTTGAAGAGGTTCTGATTGCTCCTCGGTCTGTAAAAAAAGCATTAATGTATCAAGTTGTAACACGAATGATTTAAACACACACAAAAAATATGTACTTTTTTCATATTGTCTGTAAGATTCTCCTGATCTTTATTTATGTTTTCCTCGTGTTCTCTCTTTTGTAGGGCCTCCGATGGCTTCTCGGGCTGTAACAAAAGCATTAATGTATCATGTTGTAACTCGAATGATTTAAACACACACAAAAAATATGTACTTTTTTCATATTGTCTGTAAGATTCTCCTGATCTTTATTTATGTTTTCCTCGTGTTCTCTATTTTGTAGGGCCTCCGATGGCTTCTCGGGCTGTAACAAAAGCATTAATGTATCATGTTGTAACTCGAATGATTTTAATACACACAAAAAAATATGTACTTTTGCCATATTGTCTTTATGACTCTCTTCATAGTTATTTATGTTTACCTTGTGTTCTGTGTTTTGTGGGGTCTCTGATGGCTCCTCGGCCTGTAAAAAAAGCATTTATGCACCATGTTGTAAGACTACGATCTAAATACATAAAATAGAATATATACTTTTTCCATATTCTCTTTAAGACTCTCCTTATTTATGGTTTCCTCATGATCACTTTTTTGTAGGGTCTCTGAAGGCTCTTCAACCTGTAAAAAAAGCATTTATGCATCATGTTGTAAAACTATGATTTAAATACATGATAAAAAGATATATACTTTTTCCATATTGTCTTTAAGACTCTCCCGATCGTTATTTATGTTTTCCTCGAGTGCACGGCTTTCTAGGGTCTCTGATGGCTCCTCAACCTGTAACAAAAAGCATTTATGCATCATGCTGAAAAACGACGACCGAATACATAATTCAATTAATTATTATTTCTATGTAAGGTCTTGGTTGAGATAAAAAAGTGAGTGTCACGAGCGGGATTCGAACCCGCGACCGCTACTCTACCACTTGAGCTGTCGTGACTTCGATCCTCTCGGACAGAATTTAGCCGAAGGACGTGGGTTCGAATCCCGCTCGTGACACTCACTTTTTTATCTCAACCAAGCCTTAAATAGAAAGAATAATTAATTGAAAGAAGTAACCATGACCAATTGACCACCAAAACGTAAATGGACTAACACATAATAAAAGTATACATACTTTTTCAATGCTGTCTTTAATCACTTCCTGATCATTATTTATATTTTCCTCGTGTTCACTGTTTTGTAGGGTCTCTGATTGCTTCTCGGTCTGTAAAAAACATTTATGTTAATAAAATTGTATGTTATTTTCCTGTCAACGTGTAATAACAATGTTTAAATACAGAATAGTATACAAGTACACATACATTTTCTACATTATTTTTGAGAGTATCGTGAACGTCACGTATGTTTTTCTCATTTTCAAAATTTTGTAGAGGCTCTGATGGATCTTCCGTCTGTAAAGACACATTAATGTTGATCAAATCTTATGTACTTTCGTGTCAAATTGTAATAACAAGGACAGCAATTTAGTAAAGAATTCATTACTTTTTCCGTATCATTTTTGAGACTATCGTGATCATTATATATCACTACTTCGTGTTCACCCTTTTTTAGAGGCTCGGATGCCTTCTCTGTCTGTGCAAACATAACATCATCAAATTTTTACCCATTATAAATACATAGATTTGATGTTATTTTTTAGTCATGTTTAAATACCATTGTTTACATACACAATAATTGTAAAAGGATACATACTTTTTCCATAGTATCTTTGAGCCCTTCGTGATCATTATTTATGCTTTCCTCGTGTTCATTGTTTTGTAGCGGCTCTGTTGCCTCCTCCTGTAAAAATATGTCGATACCACGTTATTTTCTTATCTTATTTACACGTGGTACTGTGAATATTTCAGGAGGTTATCGATTATTGTATTCAAGATATTACTCTTTTTAGTTTACTTTAATCTTTCACGAATTTATTCCATATAATCTCATAAAATGTCAATCCTATAAATTTTATGAAGCCAATAAAAAAGGACATTGAAAACTCTTGAGTATAGCTATTGTAATTTTAAGCAAACCAAATATAAAATCACTTTGAAGATAAAATTTTACGAGTTTCCGAAGTTCTTGTCTAATTAATTAATCTTTATGTAAGGTATTGGTTGAGATAAAAAAGCCAGTGTCACGAGCGGGATTCGAACCCACGACCTTCGGCTAAATACGCCGCTGCTCTACTACTTGACCTATCGTGATTTCGATCCACTCGGACACCAATATCCCATTCTCAACCCAACCTTTCGAATTTTCCCTCTTTTTTTTTTTTTTTTTTTTTTTTTTGAGTTCTTGTCTAAATTTAAAGTAAGATTTTATTGGCTTCGTAAATACGGACAGATATTGCACTTAAGTTGCCTCTACTAGCATTAAACACGTGTACTTTATTTCTGAAATGTCAATTCAAGTAAAATTAATGTTTATTCCTAAAAATTTCATTTTCTGCCCACGGTAGTCGTATAAGGAACTCATAAAAATGAAGTCTATTCTGTTCCTGTCACAAATAAAGACGACCTCATACAAATAATTCAGGAAACCTGTGCGGTTATGGGAGAAGAGGAGCAGGATGAACTTTTGAAAGCAGTAAAATCTGTCAGGAAACGATGTCAAATTAACATTCATCAAGAGCACATTTTGAACACTTAATTTAATTTTTAGAAGCTTTTTGTTTTATCTTATTGATAATAATCTGAATTTTGTACCAAAGAATCATTTTTCTTTACGTGGTATGTTCATTATGTTAAGTTTCAAAAACTTAATGACTAATTAAATCCATTATATTTAGTCTATTGACCAAATTACTTCTTTCAATTATTTATTCTTTTTATGTAAGATTTTGGTTGAAAGGAAAAAGCTAGTATCACGGCGGTATTCGGACCCATGACCTTCGGCAGATGCCGCTTACATTTTCATTTCAACAAAAACCTTACATAAAAAGATTAATTAATGACTAATATTTTTGAACAGTCTGCAACCGAAAAATCAAATTTTTAACAATGAAATGTTAATTTTATATTGGTGATGTACGTTTGAACAATTAAGTTTTTACAGATCATCATCATCACGAGGGGCAACCTTTCTGTAAGCCCCGTAGCCAATTTAGTTAAACTTTAGGCAAAAACTTTGGAAACTCGTATAATTTGTTTGTTAGTGAGTTTGCATTTTGTTTGTTTAATGTTACAACGACCAAATGAATCTCATAGATTTTTCAATAGGATTTCTATTGCCGCAGTCAAATTTACAATAGGATTAACATTTTATGAGATACGTTGGACTTTATGGAATAAAGTTGTCAAGTTGAAATAACCCGAAAAGTGAAATATCTCGTACATAATTGAGAATCAGACTTTGGTCCACAAGGATTTTTTAGTACAATTTAATATATCTCTACAGATAATCTCCTGAATTAATGTAGTCTGTTCATGGATCAGCGTGTATTCTTAATACTTAAAAGGTACATACTTTTTCCAAGTTCTCTTTGAGCCTCTCATGCTCTTCTACTTTGTTCATACATTCGTCAAGAAACCCCTGAACATGCAAAGCGTTGGATTTAAAAAAAAATTGTATTCAAACGGATTAAAAATAGGGTTTTTTGTTCTACATTACATCGACCACGCTGGAAAGGCTGCTCCTCCTGGAATGCCCTGCGTATTTCTCTTTCCCGCCTTCTCGAGCGTCCAGAAAGTCCTGAAAGCCATAAATTTGCATGTTAAAAAAAGTAAAATAAAATAAAATAAAAAAGAGGCCAATGTTTTTCATTTCTACCGAACAATCACTGTCGTTTTGATCGTTCGAAGTCGCGGCAGAAGCCGTCTCCAACGTCGGGTTGTCGCTCGCTAGCGATAGGTATTCGGAGCAAGTCTGAAAATTAGGAGATTCAACATTCTTGGGGCAAAGGAATTTAGGTTTTTTTTGTAAAACGATCTTTATAAAACATAAATATTTGTCATAACGAGAAAATACCAAATCGTTGTCCGCACAGGAATCATCATGACCAGCGGCTTCCTTTTGTTGATTGTCTGGTTCCCGTATTGCCTGAAATTAACAATTATCAATTTCCTTTTGATCAGTTATTCTCTGAATGGAAAATGGAAACAATTAACAAATCAAGATTCGAGGGATTTTCGAAAATACAAATGAAAAGACTTCCTAAATATAGTATTGTAGAATCCCGCAAGCCTGAATTAATTGACATCGAGGCCTGTTCCTATTAGAATAATGCAGAAAAAAAAGCAGTGAAACTGGTCTGGTTTTTTTATGAGGTGAATGTAAAGACCTGACCTACAGAATCAGGTGGTATTGGGTTCCCGATTACTCATCGTCAACAAGACAAGAGGATCTTTAACGTCCGCACCTAGCCTATACGGCCTTATCGGACGTTTTGATTCTCAAGATGAGAGCTGACGCACCTCTGCATACGACGGAAAAGTGTTACCGCCGCAGCATTAGTGTAGTGGTGTCCCGGCCCCTAAGGGTCGGTAGCCACACTCTCCGCTTGTCCACTCCGAATGGTCGGGCCCGCATTGTGCGTCGGGTCGTACGCCGCACGCGAGGGGCTAACGGGCCGAAATACATCAGCCCGTCCCCCCCCCTCGCGTACTCCCTAGATAGAGAAGGCAACTCTATCTCTCTGAGTGAAGAGGCTTCTCCAGCGTAGAAACTTCCGGGAACGCCCCGACAACGGTTTCGGATTATAGTGAGATTGCTACCCACCCCCTAGATGAGCACTGTCTACGGTAAAAGGTCTCTTATCGAGCTCAGCCTACACCTGCTGCACGTAATCGAGGGACGCCATAGGTCTAGCCTAGGTGGTCCGATCCTTCGCTTCCCCAAGGGTACCACGCCGGTCATACGCACAACAATGCAAAGCATACTCGAGTCAAAGACCGCCGATATCACTACCCTTTTCCAATCGCTTACTTACGCATTCGAGGGACTGTAGCATGATCATGACGTCCTCAACGCTTACATGCTGTCGTCCGGTCGCAACGTCTCCCGTGAGGAACGGGGGGTAATACATTGGCCATACGCAAGCTTCACGAAAGGTCCCAGATAGAAGAAAGCCTCTGTCTAAGTTCCCGCCAGGGGCGTCACCATAAGCCACCACGAGTCCATCCCAATGTGACTCTGGGCTGGTTTTTGAAACGTTGAGTCACCCCGTGGTACAGATGGCCATACAACCCTCCCCCGTCTTTGTAGACAGGATCTGGTGCACTGGCCCTCGTGTGACTCTGCTAAGGCACCCGCCGCCCCTGCCGACCCTGAGGCCGACATAAGACAGCTTGTGCTTTAGAGAGGTTGCCACGCCCACTGGGCTGCACCATTATTTTGTGCCCGGATACCCCCCTTGTAACCAAGGGTTAGGAGGGGTCACAGGATAGAATGAAGGAATTCGGATTGAGAAACAGGGCCGTGGAAAAGAACACGAGGTGAGCCGTTTCGGGGTCTCGAGTCTCAACCACATTATACCACCCGTTGTCGCCGTGGTTCCACATAGAGTGGGCCATGACTCCCAGGGTGGGTGAGGCGATATGGCCGTTCAAAAGCCGAACTAGTCGACCGTATCCCAGCCAGTCGCCTAGGGGGGTTGAATCCGAGTCCGCGGAAAATAAATCCCGCGGGTCGGATTGGGATCCTCAATCGCAAACACTCACTCTTCACAATCAGTGCACTCGCGGTGGGCGACCGGTTCCTCAGGCTTTCGCAGTTTCCGTTCAGGCTCCCTGCTACTCCCCGAAGGCCGAATGTCGCTCACACCTGGGCTTGAGAGACTCTTCCTCAGCGATTCGAATCCCTGAATCGCACATGGAGGCAAGGGGGAGGTGGTCAGGCTCCCTCAGCGTCAGAAACGGGAACAGTCGAGCCCAGATAACGTGGGCTACGCCTTCCGCGGCCTCTCTTGAGACCCAGAGGGGTCGGATAGCCAACTGGGCGCGGGGCACCCGCTGAAACCACCCGCCGTCATAGGCTCCCTTTCTTCGCAATAGCCCTTCATGGGTTCGGAAGCTCAGTCGAGCTCTCGCAGGCTCCCGCAGGTGCCTGTTACTCAAGGTTTGTTCCTACACCCACTCCGGAGCTTGTTAGAGTCTTCTCCCACACGAGTTCGGTGACTTTGGTGACTTTGAGAATAGTTAATCAATTCAATCTCCTCGTTGGTTGCCCTTTGGTGAGCGACGGGGACCCTAGAATATAGAGCCAACCGCCGCCCCCAGGGCCAAGAGACATTACTCCGCCACTATGCTCAGGCCACTTTGGAGAAATGTGATCGGTACAATACCAATCTTTTGTCTTTGCGGTTTCCATTTGGTATTTGTTTTTGCGGTTTCCATTTGGTTTTATTTACTTTGCGGTTTCCATTTGGTTTTATTTTTCTCCGTGGCCAGGCCAGTAGCGAAGAGAATCAGGTGGTATACAGATGTACTTTGAAAAATAATCTGGAAGTTTTATGAAAACATTATAAGAATGTGATAGAGCAGTTAAATCGTTTCTGCTCCTCGCCGTCTTCAATTTTTAATAATAATTTTGTTTAAAAACACAACACTACAGGCACAAACCGAAACTCGTCTAAACCAAAACCTTCAAAATGGATCGTAAGGTTAAAGGTTTAAAGAAGCCTCTTTATGACCTTCGCACTCAGACCAGTGTTGGTCTATTATGCATCAATGCAATCTCAGTTTTTCACAAGCCTTAGCACTAAGATAAGACAACCGCTGTTACTTCTTCCTGGCAAATATCCGCACGGTTTGTTTCTTCTGCTGCAAGTCTATACATATGCCTTCGGAGTTTGCCGTGTCCAGTCCAGTCCGCAGTCCTACTGTTTATTATTCTTGTCCTAAAACGTTCTAATTTTAGTAGTTCTGCCGTTAGTTTCTACTTTGGTCTTTAACTTTTTCTCGTGTCTCTGTACTGGACCATAATCCCATAGAGTCGAAGACTGATTTTTAATCCATTGCCTGATTAAACGTTTTCGGCAGTTTGTTATGCCACAAAAGGGTTTATGGCTGATGGGTGTCCTTATCGGACTTTCCTTAACCAATTGATCGGCTTATTCGTTGCCTTCTGCCCTGTGTGCCCTGGTACACCAAAATACCTAGGTGATTTTGTATCCTCAGTAAGTCCGCCTTTATTAATAGAAATGGTATTAACTTCAGGTTCATCATCTCAATAACCTTGCAATTAAAAAGTTAAAGTGAAGCTTTAAATCCTTAAACCTTTTAAATCTAACTAGCAGATACAAAAAACTATATTTTACAAATTGACAAATCTCCTCTTCGCTGACCACAGGAAAGAGTTTAACTTACCAGTCAAATAACGTAATATTTGAATAAAACAGCTTTGTTACTGCTTCAAAAAGCACTTGTCAGATTTGGCATTATGCAAGTGAGAAATAGTGAAAAAGCCACACGACGGTTGATAATAGAAAATCCAGAGGCCCCTGCATTCGAAACCGACATAATTACAAACAGGCTTTTTTCAAAAACACCGGCATCTGGAGGGTTTATATGACCTCTGCTGTTGCGAACCCTCGTAAAAAAAAAGAAAAAAAATAGAAAATCCAGGTGATGAACGTTTCATCAAAAGAATTGTCATCATGGATTTAGTGACACATCCTCACAGCGGATGTTCTGTTTTCTGACATTTTGGTGAAGTGACTTTTGTACTAAAAGAATTTGTCGATATTAATAAAGAAACTTTTGTTTCATTTCTGAATAGGAGTGAAACTACTAACTCTTTCAGAAGGAAGTAAAAGATATATTGTTCTGACAACCACATAGAGTTCTGACATTGCTCCTCAGGCTATAGCCTTCTGAGCCAACTTCCTTAAGGAAAAAGTCAAAATTTGGATGGACGAATTTGTTAAAAAAATTGCAATGATTTTGGGCTGAATTGTGCCAATGATTGACTTTCGACAAATTTACAGCTATCCTGAAAAAAGGTTCGTTTGTCCTTTTTCCGATGACGACGTTTACGATATCCGCCACACTTTTCTTTGGGAAGAAGTAAACTATCGTTTGGTTTCACCACGGCCGGAAGAATCTCAACCGAGGGCCTTCGGTGATTAATTGTCCGAAACCGTCAGCTTTTAATTAGAACAAAATTTCATATTAGCTTTTTGTTTTGTAATAGATCGTATCATCGCGTTCGTCCACGGGGAACGGCCTCGCTGACACGTCAAAGAGGCGAGAACTAGCGATTTTCCTCGTGGATGAGGAAAGCTCGACGAATAAAATTGATTTTTACGATTTTTTTTTTCAAGTTGAATTTACCGTCGGAGATGGCAGGGTGTTTCCTGCAGGGTTCAAAGTCGGGTCGCCGTCGCTCATCTTCCAAAAATGTTTCGAAAATCCTCCAGAGTATCTGTTCAAAAACAAAAAATTGAGAAATGTATGAAACTCAATTTAATTTATGGCTTAACTAATAAAATTAATTGAGATTAAAAAACCACGCGAGTCTATAATTTTTACATCATCAGACAACCGAACCACTCCTACTCAATCAAGGGTTATTTAAATATCACGTAATTCTTTCTGAATAGGAGTGAAATATTATTTTCGATATTCAACGGATAAACAGGAAAACTGCGGATTGCCTCTGCCCAAAACCTTAAAAAGACTTTATTAAAAAAAGATTTTAAATTTAATCGGAAGAAAGAAAATAGTCGTCCGATTAAAACTGCCAAAAATTGAATACAAAATTTTTAAAAAATCTGAATTCTGATTTTTTGATGCACTTGCCAACCTATTGGTTCTGGGTTCGAATCTGGCATAGCCAATGGCTTTTAATAATGGATAATATATATTCTTTATTTGATCTTTTATCTTGTATTTTGCCTACAGTTGCTGTAGTTTTAGCCATTTTCGAACATTACGCTCATCTGCTGATACTCATTAAAGTATGCTGTCACAGGTAAAATTAAACTTTTATTTAGATTTTTCATTTTATAACAACACTTTTTCTCATATGACGTGATACAGATAAAATAAAATTTATAACAAGTTTAATCATGATTGTCTCTATATAATGTTGGAAAATGAACTAACACAACAAAAATTTACAAGTTGTTGATTTTCATAAGGTATGATCAACTTTATGATTATTCACTAGTTTTCGTGATCCGTTGACCAATTAATACCTTTCAATTTTTATCTCAACTAAAAACCTTAATTAATTGAAATTTATGATTATTTGTGATAATTTTTTTACAATTTTGTTTATAAAATAAAACGTTGATCAATTTTAGACTGAAAATTTTGATGTGAATTGTACGAATTCAAATGATTCCGCAAAAATTTACATGTTGTTGATCCTCAAGAGGCATCAAATTTATGATTATTTATGACAATTAAATGATTTCGTTCAGACGTTTTTAAAATAATATTTGGGTCAAGTTTAATCATGATTATCTATATGTAAATTCTGCAAAATAGACTAACTCCTCATAGTTTAAGTATGATTTGTTAAAGATCATAAAACGGTCCAAGAATTTATAAAATAAAATTTGAGACAAGCTTAATCATGATTATCTTTATGAACTGTTGCTAAATGAAGTAAGCTAACATAGTTTTTGATTCTCATAAGTCATTAATGACATTATGATTCGTTATGATGCTTCAAAAGATCATAAAACAATTCAGACGTTTGTAAAATAATATTTGGGGTCAAGTTTAATCATGATTATCTATATGTAAATGTTGAAAAATTAACTAACGGTTGATAAAACGGTTCAGAAATTTCTAAAATAAAATTTGGGTCAAACTTAATCATGATTATCTATATGTAAATGCTGCAAAATGAACTAACCCAACATAATTTTTGATTTTCATAAGGCATTAACATAAATATGATTAATTATGATGCTTAAAACGATCTTAAAACGATTCAGACGTTTATAAAATAATATTTGGGGTCAAGCTTAATCATGATTATTTATGTGTAAATGCTGCAAAATTAACTAACGGTTGATAAAAAGATCCAGAAATCTATAAAATAAAATTTGGGTTAAGCTTAATCATGATTATCTTTATGAATTTCTGCTAAATGAAGTAAGCTAATATAGTTTTTGATTCTCATAAGTCATTAATAACATTCATAAGATCATAAAACGATTCAGACGTTTATAAAATAATATTTGGGGTCAAGCTTAATCATGATTATCTATTTGTAAATGCTGCAAAATGAACTAACCCAACATAATTTTTGATTTTCATAAGGCATTAACATAAATATGATTAATTATGATGTTTCAAACGATCTTAAAACGATTCAAACGTTTATAAAATAATATTTAGGGGTCAAGTTTAATTATGATTATCTATATGTAAATGCTGTAAAGGCATATCAACATCATAATTAATTATCATCATGAGGTCAGGAAGGGGTTAAGGCGAGTGTAAAATTCTGTTTGTTTAAGAGTTTTATTGGAAATTAGAGGAAATTGGAGTTTAACAAAAAATCTATGGATGTACATGAGTACGTGGCTGAAGTTTTTGATCGTACTAGCAATGAACGAAATTGTAATTAACTGATTTTTTAGGGCGGCATTTTTAAATAGACTCAAAACAACTGGGCATCAAACCATTATGTAGGACAAACAATGTAAACAATTTTTCAGGTAGAATGAAACAAACATGAACAGATGGCAAATTTACGAAATAAACAATTCTAACTGTACTTACCGGTGATGTGGTAAAGCGCCAACAGTTTGTCTATGTAGAACATCTAAACACAATCCTATTCAGCCAAAATTACTTGAGCATAATTTGTCAGCAGCTACGCTTGAACGCCTAGAAAAACTCTTTGAGAGAAACAGCTGATTATTATGAATATGTAACATATGTATTAACATAAATAATGCTGCGGATTAATGGATTGGAATTCCCTCTATTTACCGGGAAATCGTTTAATTAATAATAATTATGGTAGGAAGAGATTGACATACTTAGTACATACTGTTAACGCGTTGAATAATGGGTTTAATTTTAATTTTAAAATACCTGATGCAACGATAGATAAATGCATAATATTATGCTGTTTTTTTTAAACGAAACTTTTTATAGTTTAAGAGCTTAAGGAAAAATCTTGTAATAATGGTTATTGGAATGCCTGAAGAAATTGACAAAAAAAGCATAACAAATCGGAAAGAAAAGCCGTTTAATAAACTGGGAAAAATTTAATTTATTCTAAAAAATAATGAAGAATGAAGAGTGTTTGAACCAATACGAGAGAAAAAAAATCACGGAGAGAGATTTATTTGGCAATGAATCAAGTACAGTGACCCCCCAGGGTGCATTAATTTATTACACATATTATAAACACTCGCCTCTTCCTGTAGCGATTGATTTCCGCAAATCAATCATTTCGCTTGATTGAGGTCGTAAAGTGACGAAATTGTAAAGGAGTCATTATAAAGAATAAATTGGAAAATTGCTTGCGATTGTTCGGCTCATTTCATTTTAGTGCCGAGATGTCAAGTATAACATTTTATCTGTGTCATAGGCGTTTCGAGGACGGCGGCCTTCGAACAATTTCTGACTTTGAAATGTACTTTGCAATTTCAAAAAAATTAAAGGTCACGTAAATAATGCCAAATTTTTAAACTAATTTACATTGTAAAGTAGGTCAAGTAAGTTTTACATATAAATAATAGTCATTGAACCCAATGAAAACGATTTTTCTGGTTTTTTGATAAAGACAGTAATCATTTAATTTGAAAATAATAATCAAAGAATCTCTTTCCATTTTTTCATTTTTATTTTTATTTTTAAGGGGCATCCGACAGCTTGGTCATTTCAGCCCCGAACGCATGCGAAATATTTCAACACACATTCAATACGCATTCACACAAATAAATACATTCACACTTACATACATTGCATTCATTCTATTTGGTAGATAGACCATTCACCATTCCTCCATCGACCTGTATACAATAACAAACTAATCTAATTGGGGCCAATGGGGGTACTTTTATAAATATTCCGCCATAGAACGAAGTCACGTACACGGCTGGATAGGCGATGGAGATGCTATTACATCATCAGCCCCTCCCCATTCACTCTAATAAATACACTCACTTGTACAAAACACCGAAACACAAAGCACGGCTATATACAATAAAAAATTCCCAATTCTCCTAAAAAGCGGAACAGGGGATTCTGAAACTCGCTACCTTGTCCGAGAACCATTCTTAAATCTGGCGGCATGCCTACTTTATTCTGGGACTGATGTCCTTTAAGAATAATATACATGAAATAAATAAAGGAAGTTCCTTCTATGATATTAAAAATAAAATGAAATAAAAATCTTAAACATATAGTAAAATAGTAGAAACTGGGGGGGGGAGAGAGAGAGAGAGAGAGAGAGAGAGAGAGAGAGAGAGAGAGAAGAGAAGAGAGAAGGTGAAATGGCTCGATACAAATATAGAGAAAGATTAAGAAAAAGGTAAAATAGAGAGGATGGACAAAATAGTAATAGCTCATATCTACAAAAATATAACAAATGCACTGGACATAGTTTTAACAAGAAGCTCCGATTTATTACTAATTGTAAGAATTAAAAGCAGTGATAAAAAGTTATAGTTTTAATTTGATAAGCTAATGCATTATACGAATAATAAAAAAACCGCCATAAAATACATTCTTTCAGCCGGGCCATCTAAAAAGGATACCCTGCATACAATAAAGTAAACCAGGTATGTTTCGTCTAAAAATCGGAATAGGGGATCCAAATACTCGCTGTTGTGCTCAAGTAGATTTCACGCCTCGGGTAGCATTCCTACTGGTTCTCTATAAGGAGCCAAGGAATTCAAGGAATCAACATACTCAATTATAATTGAGGGTCTATGAGTTATACGATATTGCACAATAGGTCCTCACACGCTAAAAATTTACAATGATGAATACATTCACTTTTAATATACATAAAGATGTATTATTATCACTCTAGTAAATACAGAAATAAATAAACAAAAAACGAGATATCTACTAAGTACAGTATAGAGTAAAACCGCACGGATTCGAATAACATTTCTTCGAAACTGGAACAGAGAACCCGTAGATTCAACGTTATACTGAAGAACAATTGTCTTATCGGGTGACATTTCTACTCGCTTGCTATATAGAACCAAGGAATGATATTTAAATTAACTGAGACACATCAAGCAACCTTCCTTAACATGCAAGAAACGGGGGTCGCAATGTCATATAACATTGAAGTTCTTTAGCGTGCGCACCTACTGTCAGGTCTTATCACACGTTTAGATTCTCAAGTTAGGAGCGACTCACCTCCGCGCACAGAAAATCTGCTTCTTCCGTGAAGTTTGGTGTAGAAGCCCGCAAATCCACAGACTAATCGACAGACATGCTGACTTCTCTCGCTTACCCCTTCTGAGGGGGTGGGTTAACGATGTGCACTTAACCAGTGCCGCGCGTAAAGGGATACCTAAAAAGTTGTCGAAATGCATAGACCAAGTCCCCCACGTACTCTCTAGATAGAGACGAAAACTCTATTTCCCTGGGTGTAGAGGCTCCGCTAGCGTCGAAACCTCCGAATGAGCTCCGGCGGTTTCGATTTTAGTGGAATCTCTAACCACCCCCTAGAGGAGACTATGCCTACGGTAAAGGCAGCCCAGACGGCCGCCACCGACAAACACCCGCCCCCGTCCACCATTCCTCACGCATTCGAGAGTCACCGTCAGCGTAGTCATAGATCGTCGCTAGCTATACGCTCTCGGCAATCCGAACCATCCGATTCCCACGAGGTTGGGAGGTAATTCGGAGGTCATACGCAAGTAATACGGTCCACGGCCTCGAATGAAACACAGCCTTTTCTCTAGGTACCCGCTAGGGGTCTAAACCACTGCGAGTCCTTACCCATGCAGCTGGGCATGAACCTGGAACGAAAATACGCAGCAGTTAAGATGGTTATGCATCCTACCCCGTACATAAAAATATATATATTTAGACAAGATGTAGTACCCTAACCCTCGTGCGCCTCTGACCCGCCATCCGAGGTCAGCTCGAAAGCCAACAACACCCTTAACGCGTCTCGGTATGGGCGTAGTCTCGACGTCCTCGCATGCTGTACGCTTCCTTGGTCCTATCGTCCAAATGCATGCTGAGGATGCTTAAGGCGATCATGCGCGTCAAGAAACTCGTGCAGCTTGGGCTTTAGAGAGTGCGTCACGTTCTCAAGGGTACACTATTATTTTGAGCCTGGAAACCCCCCTTGCAACCGCAAGAAACGTACCGTCTGCATATGTAAAACTATAAATTTTAATTAAATGACATGGCATCCATGTATATAAATATTCAGACTGCATATGTTTGTGCCCGCAAAACTCGAAAAGTGGCCGATTGTTTGGGTTAAAATTTTGAAACAACGTTGCATTCAAAATCAAATTAATTTATTTAGTTTCTTTCCAGTTGAGTCGGTCTTGTAACAGCTGACATATTTTCAAGACTCGATGTCGGTAACGGCACTATTCCTACAAATCCAGAAACAGGAAAAATCACATTCCCATCTAATTTCTGCAACTACGTGAATTCAAAAGAAGAATTATAGAAAAGATCGAAACAAATCGATATCTGGCATGGTTGAGCGCAAGAGCCATTCTGTCGACGTACACGATATGAACATAATTCTCATAATAAACAAAATCGCAGGTGAAACAGTTACATACAAATCCATTGATTCCGTGATGGACCAAAGTTTTTCTTCCTACCGAATTTCTTCATTATCTTGATGTTCCCGGATTACCGTCACACATTCTCAATTTAAAAATTGAATGCCAATTATTCTACTCCGAAACATCAATCAACCAAAGTTATGCAATCGCACACGATTACAAAAAATTGATGAACAATCTAATGAAAGAAATAATTCTGAATGGACCTCATAAAGGTGAGGATCTTTCACTCATATACCACCCATTCCTACCGACATGGCGGTCGAGTTCAAACGACTTCAAATTCCAATTCCTGCCTTGCGTTCGCTATGACTATCAATAAAGCGCAATAAAAAGCAATATTTGCATGTGTGAGATTTGAGTTTAGAAAACGATTATCTCATGGGCAATTATACGTCGCATGCTCCCGGATACGTAAACCGAATGATCTTTATGTTTGTGAAGAAAACGGATAAACAAAAATTGTAGTTAATCTACAAGCTTGACAATAAAAAAATATTTTGTGTCAAAAACATCTTTTTTCTTCATTTCCTTTCATTCCTCAAGGGTATTGAATTGAATGATGTGCGTTCTCGCTGAATCTGTTAGTCGTATCTAGAATACTTTCCCATACATTTTGTCAGAATAAAATATTTCTGGAATAAGAAAAATGAATTTGTGCGCGATTTGTCGAGCTGTACAAATTCATGTGTCATAATTGACTAATTATTTATTGGCAATTGACGTTTAGCGTTACAATTGTTTGATTTCTCCATCGTTATACTGTTTGTCATAAAGAATTAACACAAAATACGTCTTATTTCTAAAAAAATCCGACATAATCGATTTTTCTTGGCGGACATTAGTTTTGGATTTAATGATTTAATGATCCGATTCCGTTTATATAATTTCGGAAAATACACAATATTAGTAATGACCTATTTTCTTTACTGTTTCTTGGAAATTCCAATTAGCATGTTAGGAAAATATAATTTGTGGTTGATTATTACAACATGTTGGAAAATAAGTAATTCTAGAATTTAAAATATTTTGCGATTGGTTAATAAAATAATGAGACCGGACGGGATTTTATTTTTATTTTTAATAAACCCGCCGTCGGCAAAAAGAAACAGCGATTCAGCACTGACCCAC